CCCTAGGGAAATTTCATGATAGATGAAAACTAGAAGAAAACAAACAGGATACAATGGATCTTCAATTCAAGAGGAAGATGTGGCTCTCCCAATCTTTTGTTAGCTGCTAGAGCTCAAAACACCTAAGAGAAAACTCAAAAATAGTAAAACAATACATAACCCTAACCCTAATTCTCCCCCCTCTTTAGAGAATTTAAATTAAATCCATAATTACTAAACAACCCTCCTTAATTAATTTCCCTCATAATTCTTCCCCCTCCTATTTAAAATTACATTTAATTCATAGGCCTGCAAAGGGGGCCGGCGGCTCCCTGGTTCGCCTGGTGAAAACTATAAGTCTGCTTGCAATGCGATGGGCAACCACCTATACGTGATTTTTTAGAGCGGTAGGAGGAAGCTCGTTGCGGTGCTTGCGACGAGGCATGTAATCCTTGTGCGCGCCTTTCTTAACATGGCGGGGCAAAATTTAAGTACACGTATGCGCCTCAGTGCCGGCGGGGAAACAACTGTGCATTTTCAAATAGGTACCCATGAAGACCCATGCAAGCCTTTTGTGACGTGGTGGGATTGAAGACTATAGTCGTGGTGTCACGCGACACCGATCATTCACGTCTTTGTTGATGTGGCAGGAAGTCTAAGACTCCCCAAATTTCTCCCAAATGAAGAATATGCTTGGATGCTGACGAAATTCTGAGTAAATGCACGAAGATTGAACGAGCAACAGGGTACCTGACTTGACCTAAATGACAGGGAACAAGACAATGAAATTGAACACCAGGAAACTGGACCCTAATTTTTAAAATGTATAATTAAACTAAAAATGCAAATGATACCTGATATTTTAATGCATTCAAATAAGTACAAATAAAAAAATAGGGGACTTGTGACGAACAATACCTTCAATGCACATAAATGATGATATTCGATCAATTCCAAGTAATGCAAGTATGTTGCAAAGAATATAAACATCTCCCACATGGAACAATGAACTTGCTTTACAAGCAATAATTAGCACGTAGATTGAAGAGGCAACGAATGTGGCAACCTCATGCAGTCAACATCAACATCTCGCATACAACTAAGTGTCACCACAAGCAAGTACACCAAACTATAGATGAATAATGATGGTGGACGTAACGCAAGTGTAATAACCTCCTTACCAACACATTCAACCACACAAACATCAATGATAGATCATGCAATGGATAAATTATCAAGTATATCTGAAGAAGTTGCAAGTAGACATCCATCAAGTACACCGGTATCCTGCAAGCAGGGATGACTAATTTGTGATAAATGCAAACACTAGCAAGCAACAACGGGGGATTTATCGTGTGCAATAGTCCACCTACATTCTGTGATGAACAACATGCAGTGTATGTTAGATCATTCCTACAATCAACCATCACTCGATAGAAAGTAGATATATTGATTCTTTATAAGCAAAGGGGCAAAATGATCGATGTATAATGCAACACATAATAAGTGCTACACAATGACAACATATGTAATAACTTGCCTGCAAACAATAGAGCCTCTTGCTAATGCACACAATGCAAATCACGATGAGTGTGAATACTTGCTAGCATTAATGGAATATTTGTCGTATACATAATAGTGATAACTAACAACATGCAATGGGTACTACGACACCCTTGTAGTCAACTAACATTAAATGTTAGGCAAATATACTGATCCCCTACAAACAAAGACAGAGGGTACGCAACAAATGCATACACCTACGAGTCACTGCAGGAGGTCCGTGTACATTCAACACGTTATCTACAAGTAAATGCAGAAGAACTATGATGAATGAAAACACCTACGAGCTATTGTGGGAAAACCGCTGCACACGATATATGCTGTCGACCGACAAGCGCAAAGAAACCAACAATAAATGCATGTCACTGGTGGTCAACAACAACATGCAGATGAGCACGCTGGATGTGTAATGATTATGAGGATGCCCTTACATTCAATGATAACCAAGCACCTAGCAGATGCACAAGCTCCCTGTGGACGAGTACTATAACTCACCTGCAAATAATAATGTTCTCTATAGGTACCTACAATAGCGATGATTGAGATACTATGAGTATGTTGGGTACAAAGGAAATTCGATGTACGAAAGGAACCTATTGATACGTCATCAAAGGAGGACTCCAACTGTGACGCGAAATTGAATGATTTTATGAATGATTCTATAGAATCAAAGAATAAGCACATGAAGAAAAAAAAATGTCTCATTTTATCATCTCTTCAGAAATATCGAGGCTCCCGAAAATATGTCGTGTTACTTGGGAGAAGATCCAGAAAGTAAGGCTCGCAACCCGATTTCCTACATATGCATCATAAATACATAGAATGGGCCCATCGATTACACTATTTTGGAGTCGTAGAAGAAGCTTATATGTACTATGTGCATATCAGATACTAGAATGTCACCGAGACATCGAAGATGACCTTGCACTCTGTCTTGTTCATGCTTCGAGGAGAATGCCTTGTGGCGAATTGAAGACAAGGAGAGCCAACAGTGCGTTAGTCGAGCCTTCGATCTCATCAGCTTATGATATCTCATCTATCACAAACGACCTCATGTTGTTTGGATGTCCTTACCCAATCTAAGCAAGGACTAGATGACTTGTAGATCTGATCTCCCGAAGTATGATAAAAGGGAGCCTACATCAAAATAATGAAGTATCTCATGACTACGTCATATGACAACGCTACGATTTACCCGTAAGCAAAACAAGAAATCAGTAGTAAAAACCATGAGCCACTGAAGCGTAATACCACACCATCATATATGCAATATTTGTACAAGATGACAGAAGACGTCAACAAAGCACAAAATAAAACCTTGCGCATTTGACAACAATAGTCACCTATATAGTCGGCTACATTTAAAAATTCAAAACAACCCTTTTCACTACATGCAAATATTTTGAAATGCCCCTCAGACACGCATTGCAATATGCATGATAAATCATTTAAAACATGTTATTCATCATCGTGAGATGCATTTAATTGTAAGTTTGTAACAAATGCATTGCATTTACATATTAATATGTTGCATATTTACATGTCGTAACTTATAGAATGCGGGCATGTCATCCGACATTGCTGTTGGATGTTAAAATGACCTCATCGTTAAAATGCAGAAGATTTCATTAAAGCATGTCATTTGACATTGCAATTACACTCCAAAGTATCCTCCCGCATGTATTTGCAATATGCAAAGGGTTTCACTCTAGTGTGTCATTTGACACTACAATTGTATTTCAAAAAGCGTGCTATGCACACACCTGAATGCATCGTGTTGGAATTTAAATTATAATCTGATACTCTGTTGGCAAGTAGACAGAGTTGACAAGGTTCAATCAACAAAAATGTAACATCCCATGAAAACCCCAAATGGCACCACACCATGGGTTTTGCCATTAAATGCTACCGCATGTAAACAGTTGTGATCAGGGTCTGCTGAACTGTGTGATTTGTCGTCAAATGACACCATTAAATTACAGCTATGGCCAGAGCCACGTATGCTCCCCAGTGGCATTAAATCCTTGAGATATGAATTAATAGGATATGTTTGATAGGGTACAAAGCCTCTATTAGCTAAGGTGGATTTAAATTTGTTCTATTAGACAAATATTCATCCCCAGGTCTACAAGGTACCCTTAGACGAAGCAACTCATGGCTGCCGACAAAGATCCTTCTGCCAGTTTGGGTCCACTACATCCTCTGGCTAAGTAGACCAGGGACCACGATGATCCGGAATGACGGAACCATGAGATCTTGATCGGGCTCATCATCACTCCCCTCACCATCGCTTTAAGTATAAGATGGTAAAATTTCTAACTTTAAATATCAAATTTTTAAATACAAACCAATGCTGCTACTATATACTGAATATCACGTATCTACGGATATAATGTATTCATTTGACGACTAGCCTTAATCAAAAGTTCTCTCTCATGATCGGGATGGATAATTAACTATAGGGGCTTTCGCCTATAGGAAATCAGAACTCGGATAAAAAGAGTCCTCGCAAAATGAGGGCGAAAACTCTGGGTAGTGTCTTATTTCAAATTCAATATGCCTTCCGAAAATTTATCTCAGAACCTAATCCGTTAAAACTCTCCTGAAAATAGAGGAGGTCAGGGGGCGAATTTTCGGAGCCCACGGTCATATACATTTGTAGATAAAACAAAAAGAAAAAGATAAGGCATAGAAATAAACCCAAACAAATCATATAGCAACTCACTCCTCCACAAGAGGAATACTACATGGATTTTTAATATGGTTTGTATGAGACTTCCAAGCATTAGCTCTGAATTGAAAGACCTTCCAGGCACCTATCTTACCATCTACAATCATGATATTTTATGTCTACCATCTATTATGAAACCCTTTTATTTTTTACCATGAGATAAAATTGTATCGAAACACCATTCGCTATCATGAACTCATACCCCATATGTTGAACTTCAATCATGTTGTAGGCATTCTCCGAATGCATCCTAGGCTAGAAATCAAGGTTTGTTCTTGGGACTCTGTATTTGACTCGAACAACATTAAAATCCTAAATCACCATGTTTGGTTGGTATGATTGCTCCCAGGGCTTGCAAGAACATGCATTGATCTCATAAAGATCCTTTTAGCGCGGTCATCGACTTACCATAGGTTCCATAGGATAAACTTAATTTGAAGGAGGTTCTTCTTGCTGATAGTCTATTCTTTACATTCAATCACTATTGCCAAATAAGTGGTTTCCATAATATCCTTAGATTAGAATATTTTGCACTTTGAAAAAACAGGCGCTTGCATTATTTCTCTTTTCTTAACCAACTTGCCAGTAGAATAATGCAAGATTCCACCTCTTCTCTCGCTAAATGCATTTACAATATTTTGTAGACTGTTCTTAATCTTACTTTGTGTGTGTAATTCTACTGCTACAAAATCAAATGGTTGACAAAGCCCACTGAACTTATGTGCAGTGCTTTGAGGAAAGAAGCCAAAATCCTTCAGAAGCTTTCCAAGATGCTCTGAAGCAGGTAGTTTTGTGATTTCTGTCGTAAGCTTCCATCATATCCTTTCATGCATTTGACACACTAGCTTTTCTTTTCTTACTTTCCAGGCATTGTCCAAATATGGGAATGATAGACTTAGAACTTCAGAAAGTAGAAGTGCTGGTGAGATCAGGAGCCCAACTCAACAGGACAAATCACCTGGTAATTCTAGTCTCAAATCTTTTACCACCTTTAAGTTAAAGAACTGGAAAAACTTCTGGTCATTAGCTACTTCATTTTCTTGTGATTTATTGATTATTACTGCGTCAGATGCATCAAAAACCTCAATTTCCAGCAGCAGCAAGGATGATCATGATGAAGAGGGAGGGAGGGGCAAAAGGAAAAAGAAAACAAAGATTCATTTTGATGTAATTTGTTGCCAACTTTTAAATGTTTTTTCTTGCTACATCTTACAGAAAAGTTTATTTCACTATTCATTTTTAGAAAATAAGCTCAGTTTGTTAATCATTTTGAGACATTTTTCAGGAGATGGCTGTTGCAGATAATCCTGCAAGAAAAATTCGCCGCCTAAAGATAATGAGGCTATTAGGGCTCGCAGCTCCTGTTGGATCTCCCTTCTCTCCCACACATAAAAGCTCTTAATATGACTTATACCAGCATTTTGAGAAATATTTTTCCTTTTCCTTTTATCCCAAAGTCTAAAATATTTGAAAAAAAAAGATGTGTCAGGATATCTAATACAATTTATTTTATGATGGGCTTAAATATCATCGTATTTGCTTTGAAATTAGTGCACGTAATATAAACTCTTTGTATGTAATGTTATGCTTTGTTTGGGATGGTCTTCTTACTGATTCTTAAAGCAGTTTTTTTTTATACAAAAATTTTAATTTTGTACTAAAAAGATGCTTTAAGAAGCAGTAAAAAAACTGTCTTAAACGAATCCTTAGTCTCAAAGCAAATTCAATAATTTTTAAGCGCATCATAATATAAATTGTATTAAGATGTTGACACGATTTTTTTTTCCAAAATGTTTTATCTTACCAGCATAGCAAGTATCCATGTTGAAGCCCTGATATTATTATTTCATGTCAACAAGAGGAGCCTGCATGCTGACCTGCTGCAACTATTTTGCTTCATGTTAATAGATTATCCTTTGTTTTTGCAATATATTGGGGATGCTGTGGCTTGGAGTGTGGAATTGCTATAATAATTAGTTATTATCATCCATTTGGGGATTTAATTTAAATATGAATTATTTTTTAATATTTACTAATTTAGATTATGTGAAATTTGTAAATAGGGATGTCAAAACGAGTCAATAGGTCGGGTTCAACCTGAATCTGATTAACTTGAATCCGACTCATTTAATTAACGGGACAAAAATACGGATTTGAACTCAACCTGTTAGCTACGTGAATTACTTGATAATCTATTTTGATTTAAAGAAAAATTCAAAATTTTTTTACAAAAAATTTTAAATTAATTAATAAAAAAAAAAGATAATCATACTAACAAATATAAAAAATTTAAGAAAAGTTAATTTAAACCATTATTTTGAGTCAAAATCAAATTAAGTGTCAATTTGAACTTAACCCATTTAATAAATGGGGCAGAACTTCGGACTCAAATTTGACTTGTATATTTAACGGGTTAACTCGAATCAGAGTTTTTCGGGTTGTGTTGATGGGTTGGGTTATTTTTTAACACTCCTACTTATTAATAATTATTTTGAGATATTTGTTTTTCAGTTTTTAGCTTAAAATAGCTTTATTTTTAGTTTCATTCTTGAAAGAATAAGTTAAATATATGTGGTTCTTTTAAATATGATATAAATGTGGCTATCTAATTTCAGAATAAATCATCTCGTAGTAGTATGAGATTTTATTTTTTATATTATAATTTTTGTTCTTATTTTATTGCATCTGTATAATTCATTATTGATGTCATTAGTTCTTATGATATTATCTCAAACATTAGAAGTTTAAATTGTGGCAATTAATTCAATATATTTATTGATTTTCTATGTTTTATAATTTCTTGCTAAAATTCTATGATCATTTCAATTATTTTCTAACAATTTTATTTTAAATTCTATTTCTGTTTGTTTATATTTATAGAAAATAAGTTGTCAAATTTATTTTTATTTGGTTAATTTCTTGTTTGGAGCAGATTTTTTATTCGTTTGGGATGATTATAATTTTTTCATAAAAGTAATTATAAAAATGCTGTGATGAAAATATTTTTTTTTTAAGTTGTTGTAGAAAATAACTTCCTAGCACAAAAACTTATTGAAAATCATAAAAAATAATAATCAAATAAAAAGTATAGTTATAATTAGAAAAGTAAAATAATAAAAAAGAAAAATGTCCCATACAAAACCTTTTGAAATAATTTTTTTCATTCACTCTTTTAATGCTAAGTTGTTAACAACATTATTGTACCTCAAGTCATTTTTTATTTACAATATTTTAATAGCTTATAGATGTTACATCTATAAATAGGACAAAGCTTAGTGAGACATGAGTACTTCACCTCAATGAAAAATTATTAACCTTTTAGGCTTCGATTTTGACGGCTTTTTTGTTGCTTCTTGAAGCAGCTTTTTAATACAAAAAATTTAATTATTGAACTAAAAAACTGCTTTAAGAAGCAGCAAGAAAGCCGTCCCAAACGAAGCCTTAGTTTCAAAAACCAAATAATAAACCGACCAAAAATAAAAAAAATCCAATTCAAGATTCTTGCAGCTTGGCCAATGGCCATTAAGAAAAAAAAAGGAAGAAAGGCACCAGTCTTAATGCCTAATGCCTTGTACTCTCCTTAGCATATCCAACTTAATATTCTCTTGCATATGCTTAGAATATGCCTTCTCTCTCCCTTTCTTCTCTTTAAAAAGCCCACAAGATGTCTTTGCCTTTCTCCACTGCAAAGCCTTCTTTTCCTTCCACTTGAGCAGATGATAGACTCGCCGGCGACGGCGGGGCACCGCCGATATGGCCGGAGCTCCGGCCGGATCCTGTGACCATGTGGTGCATTGCTCTGCAGGGCAATTTGAATCCTTTGGCAGTTTTTTTCTTAGTGAATTATGCTTTCTTTTCTGGCACCTCTTTGTGGAGTATTTGGTCTGTGGGCAGTGAAGAGAGAATGCTATAGCTTCTTTCTGTCAGTCATTCTTTCTTGTAAGCTTGTAAAATTTATTGGGAAAATTTGGCTCCAAAGATTCTGATAAAAATTTTGGGTCTGCATGATTACTAAATTTATTGAATTCATTTATATTATTTTGGATATATGTTTTTTTCTAAATTAGTTAATGTATTCTCATATAAAATAAATGGGAAGTTAATAATAAAAATTTCAAATAAATTAAAATAACTTTTTAAAAAGTTATACCTAATAGAAATATCAAAGCTAAAAATTATTAGGAATCTTTTGCGTTTGGATTTTGATTTGAAAGTGATCTACCTTAACGCAATAGAACCGATTTTTATGGGACCCATTTCTTTGTTCATGTTACAAAAAAATATAAATAAATAAATAAATAAATAAATAAAAAAATAAAAAAAAATGTTACAATTTTTACATGTAGAGTTTCTCAGGAGAAATTTTAAAATTATGTATTATGAAGCTGTCTTATTTCAATTATTATTCACAACGGATACTCTTTTAACTTTTGAAGAGGATCTCGCAATTATTAAAGTAAACAAAATATTTGAAGGTCTAACAACAAGAAGAAGACGGCTTTATAACACTATGTGAGGTCAGCTACATGAGTCTTTTTTCTTCATTCTATTCTATTAAGACTTAATTTTGCATTTAAATATAACAAAAAAGATCATTTTTAATACTTCCTAATCAAGTTTTTTTAAGTTTGTCTCTATATTTCCTAATATTTTGCAAATGGGTCGAGTTCAGATTCCATTTTTTGACCTGTTTCCAATTTCGGATTGAGTTTAGGTCACAGTTAACCCGAAAACCCGAAATCAACCCAAAATTAGCTCAATTCATCCCCTCGGCTACACCCACACCGATGTCCACTCCCACACCTCCACTTGCTCCAACTCCTGCACACGTGCTCGTTCCCTTGCCCGCTCTCGCCCCCTTCGCCCACACGCGCTCGCACCTGGTTGCCTTACAGTTTAGCAGGTTAGATCAACTCAACTCAAGTTAGGGGATGGGTGATCCGTTTGTCTAATCAAGTTAGGTTTTGGTCGGGCCAATTAAAGACGAGTTAGTTTTGAGTTGGGCCCGAACCAAACCTAAAAATCTATTTTGACACTCCTAGGCTTATCTATATAATATTAATTCCCTAAAAGTTCCTATTATAGTTTGAGCATAAATGAGTTAGCTTCAGCTTAAAGATAAGAGGGCTAAAAAATTATTTGCTTTGAATAAAAAAAATATGAGGGTTTTAGCCTTTTTAGAAAACATAGTATTCTTGAGTAACTTGGAAATCAAACTCTACATGTCAATATAGATGTAAGAGTCAAAGCATTGTATTAAACCTAGCATTGTATATGATTAGAACAATTTGCTTGGTGACCAAATTACCTCCAACAAAATATAAAATAAAATATTCATCTCAGAATATTTTCAGGCCAAAGTGCTCAATTTTAGTGTACTACTCAAGTAAGCTAGATTTAATAGACCTTTTGATGTATATGAGAATGAGCAAAACTCTAGAATAAAAATTTATTTTAATTTTTATACTAAAAAGTCTTTTTAATAAGCAGTAAGAAAGCTGTCACAAAGGCTTCGTTTATGATAGCTTTCTTTCTGCCATTTAAAGCAACTTTCTAGTATAAAAAAATTAATTTTTGCACTAAAAAATTATTTTAAGAAGCAGTAAGAAAGCCGTCCCAAACGAAGCCTAAGTCTCACCATCATAAAAAGTAATGAAAAATTAAAGATCAAATAGAGACTATGGACCTAAGAAGCCACATCTTATTGCAATCTAATGCTGAATAAATTCGGCCAAACAAAACGTTTGAATAATATGCTAAAAAAATTGCATCAAAACTATCTACACAATCTGAGAAAAATGTCAATCTAATTGTACTCACCCAGGTCCTTTTCTGAAGCTTCATGTTACAGTCCTCAATTTACATCAACAAAAGCACCAAAATAAAAAATATTCAAGCAATGGAAGCTCTGCCAAGAAATGCCACACCTGGAGCTCACCAATACCTACTCCATTTTCTTCTACAAAGCAGCAGCACTATTGCAGATGCCAAACAAACTCTAAATTACAAGCCTTCTCCAGCCATCACGCAGAGAATAAACTCTAATAGAATCAGATACCTTTAATATTGTATAAAAATAATATCAGAAAAAGATAGGAACTTAGGAAGAATAATAACGTTATTTAGTAGTGAAAATGACCTTACCAGTTAGGAGCAGCATGAAAGCAATCATAGATTGGCAGCAGCAGCACCACCATGGATCAAAGAACCGTGTCGATGACCGCTAACAAAGGCATATTTAAACCGGTTAACCGATCCCAGCAAACGGCCCATTCTCTGTCACAATAACTAAATGAATCAGAATTCTAGGAACCCAACTGATTCTAGCTACATTTTTTAGGTTTTGTTTGGGACGGCTTTCTTACTGTTTTTCAGAACAACTTTTAAATATAAATTTTTTGCATTAAATAGCTGCTTTAAAAAGTAACAAAAAAGTCGTCCCAAATAAAGTCTTAATCTACTAATGATGGTGATAGGAAACACTTGTGTTCGCAAGTATTCCTAACCCAAATCAGTAAAATTTCAGCAGTAAACTGCTGTCCACAGCAGCCAAACAGCAGGAATTCAGCAGAAAATAGGGAAACGGGAAGAAAAACACAATAATATGCTTGTATTTCACTAGAAAATCAAGGAAAACAGCAAAGATACAATTGATCCTCAATTCGAGAGGAGGATCGATCTCTCCCAAATCTCTAGACGTCGCTAGAGCCCAAAGAAAACCTAAATCTAAGAGATCTCAAATTTCAGCCAAATTCAAGATACCCAAACCCTAGAAAAATCAACTATTTAATGCATACAATTCAAAAGGAATTCCCTAAACAGTATCTACAATCAATTTCCCTCCTAAACACCATTCAAAAACCTTCCAAAAAGGGCTCCCGTGGATCATGCGTGCGTGCGGCTTCCGCCTAGGCGAAACCAGTCGCCTGTTTCGCGACTCGGCCGGTCCCGTGCGGACCGACTGGACCGGTCCACTGGACCGGTTTAACAGATGGGTATGATCTATTAGCGCTCAGTAACTCACAATCAGAAAGATTAATGCTCTGAGAATGAAAGGCAGAAGGCTAAAATCATTCAAGCCCAAGAGTATTAAGAATAATGGATAATTTTCATAAGATTTGATCTGCATGTGTTAAATAAGCAGCGGTATTTTAAAATAATCATTGCCATGACATCAAGCATATTGTTGTCTCCTACAATAAGCTGAAGGCTGTTATCAGAAATTTCAATCAATGGGGCTGCCTATTCCTACTTTCTCCTCCATAGCTAAGCTCTATCGCCAACTTCAACAAGCAGGTTGGTCAAACTAGACATGGATCCTATCTATAGTTGCTTTGTTTATCAAGTTTGAAGAGCTCCAAATGCTCTCAAGCATAGGAGACAATTTGTAAAGCCGACGATCCTCGCCATCGCCATCCTATCTTCTTCCCTTCACCCACAAAAATTTCCACTTTGTGAGCACAGGGAGACCAATCGGCCTTGCGAGTTGCCCTCTCATAAACTTTGGTGCCCTCCCCTTTTCAGTGCAGATCAAAATTAATATTGACTCTACCCTTTTTCCTTCTAGCCATGCGGATCTTGCAGCGATTATTCGGAAAAAAAATGGTGAATTAATATTGCTGCTGGCAAACAAATTCAACAATGAAACATTACACGGGTAACACTCCTGATGTTGGTGCAATTTGTGACTTATTGGACTCTTGGATGTTTGATATGAAATAAGTTATTATTGATGGAGACAACATTAATGTTATCAATGGTTTCAGTATACTATGGAGGAACCCAATTAGGGTGGGGGGGTAATGGAGCTCGAACTATCCTTCTTGACTCTATGTCAACAGGTCTATTTCACTATGTTGAAGATTGTAACTTTCCCTCTTCTTTTCTTTTTTTTTTTACTTTGTTGTGGGAGGATTGTGTTAGAATTCACCATAATTAATTGTACTTTTTTTTTACTTTCTTTTTATTAATGCAACATGAACTTAAAAAATTAATAATAATAATAACTTGGCGAAGATGAGTACACAAATTTAAATTAAAGTGCAATGACACATGATTTTGAACAACTTAAATCAAATAAAGTTCTTATTCTGATTTACAATCTTGTATGTTCAAGTTAGATATGAAATCTATTTGAGTGTGCTAAAGATGTGATTATTCATTTCTAAGGGAAATTATCTTCATATGCCGGCATGAGGCATGTATTTCTAATATTAGTGAATTCTTACTTGACATAATATTAGTTCTAGGTTTGAGTCCTATCTATATTGGTCTCTTCCTGTACACTCTTCTGCTATAGAAATAACGCAAGAAGGATAATTTAAAGGGCACCATTGTCACCAATTCAAGTACCTAACAACAGTGATCAAGTATAAAATTGGAATTAAGGGATGATGAATTTAGTGATGTAAGTCTCAAGCAATATCCGGCATACTTGATTCAAAATATATCCCTGTATTAACAAGACAAATAAGAAGCCAAAGGGAAACTCTAATAAAATGAAGAGAACACCCTTAATGGAAAATAGCAATACAACAGTTATACGTATGCCCAAAAGCAGATTCTAACAATTGCTGGACTACTATTACACAGGAAAATGAGCATGTTCAGTTAGCTATCAAGGAAATCAGGCAGCACTTTTAAATTAAATTTTGCAGTATCACTTTACCTCATTGGTGTTGCTAAACTGCCATCTAAGTTGCTGAAGCTGCAATTTCTCCCTTTTCCATTGTTTTCCTAGAACTAAAAGACCCATTACAGCAGCAGCCATGAAAATCGACCAAAATGTATTGGTTTCTTTTACTTGCTTGCACAATGATAAAGCATGTCTTTTCCACCATACTTCACAAGGAAGGCCAGATTGACCATCATTTCCATCACTTATTTTCCCATGATTGGCAAAATCTGGTGGCATATCATTGAGCTTATTAGAAGGATCATAGATCTCAGAAATATCATTCTCATCATCAGGAGGAATCATTTGTCTACTTTCTATTCCGGCAAGGGAAAAACTATGCGTTTGGCTTTCTTGAGACTCCATGTTGTGAATAGGGGGCTCAGCTTCTGAACTATCTTCATCAAATTCATCAAGATAATTATTTTCTTCCTCGGTAGGAAGAATGCCAAGACATCCGGTTTGATCATGGATTTCACCAGAGTCCGATTCTATTGGAAGATTTTCATGCTCATGAGGAGGGAATACAAAGTGCTCCGACATGAACATTGTATTTGATGAATCGTGTTCTCGTTGGAATTCTTTATCTCTAGGATCATCTGGTTGATCAGCATCTGGTCCAGGGGCAGCAGCATAAGTTGAGGAAGTTAAAGCAACAACCTCCCAGTCAGCTCCACGGGAAGAGGTACCATCTTTTTCCTCCTCATCAGCCATTTTGCCAAGTCCAATCTTAAGTAGAACAGCAACACAGATATCAGATATAGAAGTGGAATGCTAGAAAGTTTCAAAAAAAAAAGTGGAATGATAGAAATTCAATACCCCAAAGCCGTAATAAATGCTATCATTTTCATTGTCTAGGCACAAAAAATGTGAAAATTTCTTTAACTACTAAGCATTTAAGTGAAAGAGGAATATAATATATGAATATTGAGTACACAAGTAAGAAAACTTTCAATCAAGAATGAAACCACAAATTTTTTCTATCCAAAGCTTGGTCCAAATTAAAGGCAAACTCTAGAAAATGTGGCAATCTTGCTTGCATCTAATTGAAGAATATCTAAAAGGCACAGATTTAGAACAAACTGGCAGTGTAAGCAATATGTTAAGATGATACACAAAAGCCTCCTAATATAATCCTAAAGTAAAGCTCTCCCAAAAATGTCATCTTAATATGCTACTCTCATTTATCTTCAGGGTTAGGGTCAACATATGCATAAGTACATCTGAATCACAATAGTAGGGATATCTTCCGTCGAGGTATAACTACTTAGAGAACTGAAAACAACAAACCAATCATCCAAAGATCAGAACTTTTACAATTTCAAATGGTTCCATCAAACAAAGTAGCAGAGAGAGTAAAACTTGTGACCTCTCAAAAAAACCAAATGATGAAATTATTTTACTAAATAAACAACCAATATATAAGGTTAATTTCATTAGTACTTTCACGCTTGGGGGTTGTTTGGCTTGCAGTAGGATTTAGTAAATCTTGTAAATCCATATCTAATAAATTGGAGACATTAAATCATAAAAACTGTTTGGCATGATAGATAATAACTTTAGTTTAATCCTAATAAACTGCTTGGCAGATAATTTCAAGATTTAAAATTTAAATGAAGGGAAAAAAAACAGTACAATGAGTAGAAATAGCGTAAATTTCTTAAATCTTACTTCCGCGGGATTTACTAAATCCAAGATTCAGTCAAAAAAATGGGTGGAAATTAAGATTTAAGGAGGTAGTAGAATTTGTATAGCACAACACAGTTTGGCAAGAGTTCACCTAGATCCTGGCGAAATTTTGTAACCACTTTTTAGCGAAGATGTATGCATAACACTGGCTAAATCTCGCAATCACTACTTAACTGGAGATGCAAGCATGACTGAAATTCCCACATTCGTGGCATGATTAGATCTTCTGCATTTATCTAAGATTTTCAACATCTTTTCACTTTCACTGAAATTCCTGGCATCCAAATGTACCCGTTAACTAACAATACGATGAGATCGGATTATGAACATGCTTGAATGCTATTTCATACACAACGACCAACTACAAAACATACAACTCTAGAAAAACTTAACCATCAGCCAGACGAAATAATGAAATTAAAAAAAATAAATAAATAAATAAAAAAAGATCAACGACCTGATTGAAATCCTAATATACAAAAACTAACTACCAGATTAGCGAACACTGCCCATCCAACACAGTGAATAGATCCAGAAACCAAACAAACAACACAAACCCTAATAAACAGATAAAAAACATCGACTAAAAACAACTAACAGACTCGGAATAGAAGATCCACCAATCAAACAGAAACGGCCAAGAAAAGAGAACAAATCCAATAATTTAAGCTCCAATCAGAACAATAGGGATATCATTACCTCAGGCGGCAACGACGGGATTCAACACTCAGGGAAACACCAGAAGATCGAAAGCAGAGTTCCGTTACGGCCCGAAAGAAGCTTGTGGATTTCGGATTGAAACGGGCAATCGGGAGCAGAATGAGCTTTTAACTGCGGCTTTTATGGGTTTCTTCGAGGTAATCATTTGTCCGCATAGAAGTTGTACGCGGAGCTCGAATCAGCCGTCCATCTGCCTCCGACGGAATCCGCCTGTAGCTCGAATCAGCTTTTTTTGCTTTTTCTGAACACCGATTTTGTTTTTTTTTTTAAATTTGGGCCCTTTCCATTAATTATAAAAGAAAAGATTATAAAAATTACAAGTAATGTATACCAAAATATAAAGCTAAATAATAATTAAAACAGGCAATTCAATAGGGTCATATTGGTGGTAAAAAACTAAAAATTATGATTTTAAATCAAGGAGTTGACAGAATTTATTCAAAATTAAAAAAATATATTTCTTTAACATACATAATTACAATATAAATATTATATATCATCATATATTATTAATAATAAATTGTTGGGCTATTATTAGCTTTAACATAAATTTTTTCGATGAATAGAACTGCAATCCTTTATCAATTTAGCTATATTTAAATTTTATAGAATTTTTTGGAATACATCAAAATGGGGCGTAACTTATTACATTATTCAAAATGAGTTCTTTTTTATACATCACTTAATACATTAAATTAGATATTTGATACAATATTCTCTAATATTGCGTACGTCCTTAGAGTTGTGAGTTTGAGTGGTTCGAATTTACTAATCCACTTTGTATACTCTCAATTATATATATATATTGGGTTAGGCCATCATAATTGTGGGTTAGTTGATTAAATGACCTAATTTAATCAGCTTAATTGTATGTAAAAGTAAGTGACTATCATGAAAGTCACAGTATGATATAGGATACCAAATCAGGTTTAGACTGGTTATGCCACTTATAGTTATCCTTTCATAGAATGGAGAAATTATTATGTGCGGAGTTCATATTGGAAGAATCGTCTGAACACGTGAGTCAGTGTGTGTACACATTTATACACAGAGTGTATCAAATTAGTGCACACACTGTCTGTAAACAATGTGTGCACTCACAGTCCTGACGGTTCTTCCCGTCTCCGGATTCCGCACAAAATAATTTCCCGTTAGAATGAGATGTGTAGTTCTAAGAATTGTAGAGTAGTGCATATTCTTAGTTTTATGTATGCTTCTATTATTGATGCTAATAATAGGTTATTGAAGAGTCGATTGTTGAAAAAATTCTTAAACCATTGGTTATCCAATTTTTTAAACAATTAGGCTCTAATTTAACTGATTCATGTGTTAGTGGAACCCTTAAAATACAATTAGGGGTATAAATAAGTCGAGTAGAGCTCGAGTAACCCCTAACTTGAGCTTTGATTAATTTATTGAGTTTGACCTTAATTCTACAACTTTAAATCAATTCATTAATCTAACTCACTTATTTTGAAAAAAAAAAACAAACAAACAAATGATTCTGATTTAAATATTCATTGCAACAAAATGATTAAAAAAATAAGAATTGAATGGCATATAACAAATAATAACTTAATATATTAATATAATATATAACTTTTAAATATTTCTCACAATTTTGTACTTAAACTCTTGAATCTTATATATCTTTTTAATATTAACATTTATTAAATCCATCACCTCACAAACAAAAAAGCAAGTTGAGACTGTCTCAAGTTTGGCTCGTTCATTCATGAAACTCAGCTCACGAGCCATTTATCAATCAAGCAAGAGACGACTCAACTCAATTACACCTGTAGACACACCACATCTCATACCCATTCAACTTTTGGGTTGCTCTAACATACATGCATCATATTGATATTTATGTATATCATATAAAAAATCTTACAATGCCATTAAAAAAAAAATTGCATATGTTTTTATGCAAAGGCTCATATCTCTTAAAACAAAAAAGAAAAAGAAAAAATCTTTATGCTATTTCTTTCTTGGTAGATTTTTACTTTCCACCCACCAAACAATTCACAAAATCCACCTAAAAAAAACAATTAAATTCCAATGAAAGAAAGAAGCTCACTTTCCCATCTCTATAAGTTTTTGTTCTCCACCCCACAATCTCACTCGTTCGCATGCCTGTGCAGCCTGCAATGAACATATAAATAAGTATTTATAATTAAGAAATCTTATATGAATAATAGAAGGAATGTACCTCATCATTCCAGTTGGTCTTCCAAAGCACATAGCACAGAATCAAAGTCTGCAGTGCAGTTCCCAAAAGCATTCCAATCCATATACCCTAATACCACAGTGTTCCATCAGTAGAACAATTATTTACTTGCCAACCTTCATTATTTCCATAAAAGCATTCAACATACAAAATTCTAAGTTTTGAAGAAATTGAGATTTTCCTCATATGAAAGTCTACATTATATGAATTCAAAATGCTCATCTCATGTAGAAAATAGTTATGATTGATCGATTGATATGATTGGATTCTTATTGAAACTGATAGTCTGATCAAGCTTACCTGAACTCCCCACTGCAATCCATACCCCAGTAGGAATCCCAAAGGAAGGCCAAAGACATAATAGCAAGCCAAGTTTATATAAGCCACAAGAGCTTGCCATCCACCTCCTACTGCCACACCTGCATCCCATATTACAAACAAAAAAACAGCATAAATGCTTATAAATAACTAAAATATTAGCTTTGTTGTTACTTCATATCGCTATAATCTCATATCGAAAAATTGGGGTGTTAATCAGCTTTCTCAGCTGTTTTACAATTATTGGCACCCTTCTCCTCCTGAATTAATTAAAAGTTAATATAGATGCTTCTTTGTTGAGATCAAATAAAGCAGGAGTTGGTGGAGTCTTTAGAGACAACAAAGGTATATTCTTGTTTGCTTTTGGTTTTAGCTGCATTCATTAGGATATTGCACATGTTGAGTTGTTAGTTGCTCGGTCACTGGAGAAAGTGGTCAAGGATTGGATGCTTGAAGCAAAAAGCATTATTATTGAAGGAGATAACTATAATATCATTAATTATCTTCAAGATTCTTTTGACAAATCAAGTATGAAGAAGGAAGATCGGGACTTGGAGGAGTTACTTTTCTTAAAGGATTTCAATAATGTTTTGTTTCAGTTTTTCAATAGAAATTGTAATAAGTTAGCTGATTTTTGTGCTATTTTGGCTATTTTTGATGATTTTATTTGGGATAATATTAGTGGCAATAATATTCCTCCTTGTTTTTTTTCTTTGTTAAAGGAGGAAGGTGATAGATGCACTATCATTGAGTAGTTTGTATTAGGTTTTTAATTTAATGCAATTTACATCTTCTTTCAAAAAAAAACTAAAATATTACAACTTTAATAAAAATAGCTCCAAAGTTTAAGAAAAATAAATAATAATTTACACTATTTTGTATGCATATGAGAACAACTAATCTGATCTTCAAAATTTCTTGAAAACACTTTGTAGTTGAAAAAGAGTTCTTTTATAAAATATTATATTACTACAAGTTTTGCTTTTTCTTAAATGAAATCCAAGCAAAAAAGATAGAAGGATCACCTGAAATCACTGGCTGTATGCTATTGAGGATCATGGTGATGGCAAGAAGATGAGCAATCTTAGAAACGGCATGCTGAAGCTCTTCATCATTTGTAAATAGTACTGGAAAATGGTTACGAGCTGCGAGTATAAGAAACATTGCAAGGAGACCAATTACAAGGGAGGTGGCCACCACCACAGCCACTGCGTGCTTGGTGGCTCTCGGCCTTCCTGAGCCGAGCTCGTTGGAGACCCGAACGCTGGTTAAATTAATTGAGCAAGTTGATTTATACTAATATTATAAGGAAATCATGTCATTTGTTTTTGGGGGAGATTTGTTTACCTTATGGCCGCGTTGATGCCGATGAACAACATTCCTTCCCAGCCGTTGATGTTCATGCTATAGGATACAATAAGAGAGATGGTTTAGTGAGATATAAGGCTAAAAATTAACCTTGGCATGAGAAGTGATTAGTAGATAGGAGATTGAAAGCTATATATAATTTAAACAGCAACATAAAACAGATCAAGGTTCATATTTTATATATTTTACATATTAATTTTAATTTAATTTACAACATGTAGACATTTAAAATGTACTCATTTATTTGTCAGGAATGGATCAAGTTGGGCGTGAGATGCATAACTTTACTGCATTATTAGATGTGGACTACATGCATAACTTTACATCCATAAAATAGGAGAGATTATTACGTGCATAATCCGGACCGAAACTGCGTCCGGTTTTTGTGAGTGTGCGCAATAAAAGAGCGGTGGTAAACACTAATTATACTTTTATTGCGTACACTCACAAAAACAGGACGGTTCTCTGATCCGGACTCCGCATTTAATAGTCTCTCATAAAATAGAGATGCTTTATGTAATCTTGTTGTTAACAGTATATGGCTATGTAATTGGAGTACACGACCCTGTACTCCTGCTTTATGGCCCTAAAGTTACGTATAGAATACACATATAATAATTTCTCCAGGGAATTGTTTGTTTTGAGGTTTTTTGAGTCTAAAGCCTACAAAATGAAGAGAATTTGAATTTTCAAGTGTTTGGTTGGAAGAAGTACAAATCCAAGGTAATCTTTTAAAGTATTGGGAATTCATTGCCAAGTTCATTTTTACTATATTTAGAATTTGCTCAAGTTAACTTCTCAGTAGATTGAAAATGTGAAGCTTTGCCTCCCACTACCATAAGCCATTGCCATTGTCACCACTACCACTGACCTCCCACCACCCCTGCCAACTGCCCTCTACAACCATCGATTTGTCACCCTGCCATAGCAACCATTGGTTTTTATACTTGAGAAATTTTTCTTAAAATAAAAATAGACCCCTATATTTGTAGTGTACTCAGCCAAAGAACTCGAAAATATCTTAAATACATCACATTAACATTATACTATATTGTTTTTACTCATATTAATTTTTAAGCAAAACAAATAACCCCTAGATTAGGATGTAAATATTTAAGACATAAGCTTAAATGCGCCCTATTAGGTGGCTAGAACATCATATCAAGCCAAGTTGGGTCAATCTGATGCCATGGCCTGAAATTTTTTAGAGATTATTAGGTGAACTACACAAGAATTATTTGGTTCGCAAAGCTTTTATAAAGAGGATGAGCCATATGGGAATGAACCCACTCATTTGGATCAGCTGCACTTCTTAGACTTTGTTTGGGACGGCTTTTTCATTACTTTTTAAAACAGCTTTTCAATACAAAAATTTTTTTAGCTATAAATTTTTGTATTAAAAAATTATTTTAGAAAGCAATAAAAAAGCTGCCCAAACAAAGCCTTAATTGAAAGCAACTTGTGATAAAAAATCTTGGGAAGTTTGATCACCAATTATTATCTCATATTATTATTTTTTTGTCAAATTAGAATGTTATGCTTTGCTTGTTTTGAAAGAATTGAAAGAGAGGAAATGGTAAGAAAATATAAATAAAAATGATAACATCATAGTTTAAACATAATTTAAAAAAAAAACATATGGATCCACTATTTTTTATTTCATAAAAAAATTTAAAACATGTGGATATTTTTATTTCAAAAAAAGAAACAGAGCAATATAACCATTAAGGATTACCAGATAGAAAGAGAGCCAACGGCTATCTCGGCGTTCTCAAGATGTCCCGTAAGCACAACTAGCACCATCATGTACCAAATCTCCAGGCAAAGCATCACAGCTGAAGCGAGGGAGAGTTTGACGAAAGCCCACAGATCCCTAAATGCGCCCCAGGAGAGGCCCGCTCCCCATCCGTCCCCACACCATCGAACGACGTACACCACCTGGGCAATGGAGACGATCCACTGCGAAATATCGTATGCGGCGGCGGCGCCGATGATGCCCCACCCGAATCTGTAGAGGAAGAGGTAGAGTAGAGCGATATGGATGAGCAGTGCGACGAAGCCTATGCAGGCGAGGACTGACACCTTGCTCTGCGCCTGCAGGTAATTGGAGTTAAGGTTGAATCACTAATACACGAACACTTTTGAAAAAAATTGAATTTTTTTTTTCTGTTCTGACAACCCTGCCTGGAGAAATTTCTGTGCCGGGAAGTTGATGGCGAGGGCGAAGATTTGGGGGATAATGGCGACGGTGAAGCGGCCGGCGGCGTCGGCGATGGCGGGGTCTTGGCCTATCAGCTTCAAGATGGGGGTAGAGAAGAGGTAGAGGGGGCACATAAAAATGGCGGAGGCGGTGAGGATGATCCATGACCGTTGCATATAGATGCCGAGCTTGTCCACCTGCCCCGCGCCGTAGGCCTGCCCGCATAGAGTTTCCAGTGCGCTCCCCATGCCTAGCTGTTCAAGGAAAATTATTAATTGAAAGAAATGATTACAATGTGTATTAAACTATTAATGGAGTTTTCCTTTGAAGTTTTTGGTCTTCATTTTTTAGGTCATAAATTATAAACTCGGATATAGTTTTGTATTCTTCTTTATAATTTTTAATGAAATTCAATTTATAATAAATTTTATTTGAAATTGCCTAATATTTATTTATCAATAATTTATATTTATGCACTATTTTTTAATTGATAAAATACTTAAGATAAGTTCATATTCTTAGAATTACAATAATTTTAAAATATATAAAAATTTATATTATCTTATTATAATATACAGCTCTTTGATCTCTCAAATCAAGCAAATATACATCTATGAAATTTTTTAGAAAAACAAGCATATTATTAAAAAAAATATTAGAGAAAGGTTAGATTCAAATAGTACCCAAATAAAAATTGATAGCAAGTTTGAGGGCAACTTTAACTTGCACCCAAAAATTTATTATAGAATTTTTGCGAGAAAAAAAATAAAAAATTGATATGAATATCACAAATTATTAAAATACAATTATATTTTAATAAATTTGATAACATAAAGTAATTTATTTATGAAATTTTTTTTAAAAAATAGTAAACAGAAAAAAAATTGACTGATTGGCTATATTGTCAACATCAATATTATGCTTTTATCAAATATGAATCTTTTTTCTTTATTGTATTCTATTAATAGTCAAATTCTTACGTAAATCTAATAAGAAATTATCATTTCTGATATTTTCTAATCAATTTTTTTTCCAACTTATGTTTCGTAAAACGGGTCGGAACTAATACATCTGCTCTTCTAATTGGATCATTGAAAGCTAATATTTTATGTGATCAAATCATATAAGATGGCTCTCTCTAATCTTATAAACTAGTTTCACATTCTCTCTAAGACCATTTTATAGGGGAAAAAACCATTTTATGGTTATTTTCTTAACGCCATTAACTTCTGTAAACACCAAAAGCTAATCCCGACCTCTTTTCATTTTCAGAAGACTCCTAGCTTGGAAAACAGAAAGTTCTGATCATCAAAAAGTGGCTTGGAATTTCCAGCCTGTGAAAGATTTATTACAAAGAAATACCCTTATGGATCAAGCTTTCCAATTGTCTAAACTGAAGGCTTTTCTAAGGTTGCTAGAAAAGTTGTTACATCCCTCATGATTGATAACCTAAATGCTGATAATGAAAGATTAGCATTTGCTTATATTTGTGTGCTTATAAACACTAGTTCTCCTTTACCAATATCTATTCCATTGAATATAAAAGGTATGCAGCTGGAGCAGCAAGTGATTTAAGACTGAAAATGTGATGCTGCTTGTCCTTCGTGCAACGCTTTTGCACAGTCAGAAATGCTGTCATCTTAAGGGTGATGTTTGCACCTCAAACACTGTGAACATCCCTAACTTCAGAGGTAGGAGAAGCTTGCCATATTTTGAGGAGAAAAGTTAGGTACTTCTCCAAATCCTTTGAACGTTCAAACTTGAATGCCTCATCTCTTGATGGGGAGAATTCTTCAAGCCCCACTCCCTGTCCTAAACAATTAACCTTCTGAAAGGCCTTCTCCAGTCAAACGTCAAACATGTGTATGTCGTCGTTTTGTCGCTCCAGCAGAACGCCAAAATGTCCACTATTTGCTTGCGGGTGAACAGTGCAAAATAAAGTATGGGAAAGAATATACTAGGGTTTTTTTTTGTATTAGAAAATGGAATTCAATTTGAGACGAGTTTCTGCATTTTGATGTATTACTGCATTTTGAAGTAAAAATTGAATTTTTTGGTTGGAGATGCCTAACTCTAATATTTGGACTTCTTCTTCATCTCGTGCATCTTTGTCCTTTGCTGTCAGACCTTCCCTTCCCTCCACTTCTTCCTTTTCTATCCCAACTTTTATGGACATCAATTTGCAGTCTTTGTCATACAAATCTAAGCCCATTATTGGAACTCTAGAAATTTACATTCTACTCAAATTCAGATTCATTCCCGATTCGTTCATAGATTTTTTAAACATTTCTCTAATGTGGAATTTCTCAGTATCGTGGTCTATGCAAGTCACTCTATACAATAACAACAACAACATCAAGCCTTTGTCCCATTGTGGGGTCGGCTACATGAATCCTTTTTATCCTTGTGTCTTGTTAAAAGTAAAATTCTCAATTAAATCTAATAAAGAAAGATCATTTCTAATATTTTCTAACAAAATTTTTTTATGTCTATCTCTACCTTTCTTAACATAAGTCAAATCTAATATCTCCACTTTCCTAACCGGGTCATCGGAAGGCCTCCGTTTAATGTGACCAAACCATCTAAGGCGACTCTCTCTAATCTTTTCTTCCACTAGAGCTACCCCAACGCCTTTTCACGTATATGCAAGTTACTCTATGACTGAGAAAAATTCTATAGGAAGCAATTAATTCCCTCTCTACTGCTATTCAATTTATCTGACTGATCTTAGAAGATTTCAACAGTATTTGAGCATTGATGACGAATTTGGTGGCTCTCAATCGTTTCATCCTAAGTTTTGTTGATTTCAACCTTTGTGTTGCTGGTTTACTTCTAGTTTTGCTATAATGCTATTATGTACAATCTTATTTGGGTGATGAAAATAAGATTTTGTGGATAATGCAAAATGTTTTGCTTCTATTCTTATCTTTTTGTTGATTGGCACAAATATGTTTTGTTTGAAACGCATTCTATGCAGTATTCTATCTACAAGTGAAAAGCTCGTCAAAATGGCTTTGAAAAACTTGCAAACTCAAAAATGGAGGGCTAACTCTCTCAAAGTGCAATGTCCTATGCTCCATGAATGAAGAATGTCATGAGCACTTATTCTTTAAATGCCCCTTCTCTATGCGGCTTATTAGAAATATTCTTCCTGATGGATTTTTTTTAAAGCCATTGTTTTGCAAGTCATCCAACAATCTGATTACTGCCATAGTGCAAATCATTTTTTTTTTAAATTTTTTTCTACTACTTTATGTTTCGTGCAGTAGTTTTTTACACTTGTAAAGTTCTGTTTTTTATTAATATAATAGGACCATTCCCTCGATTTCTGCGAAAAATAAGAGAAATTGGAGGAAACGAAATTGAAGCAGATAAAACTAAAAAGACATTTGATAAAAGGCCAAAACAACTTACAAGAAATCCAAAAGAGAAATTCGATATAACTGAAAGCCCGATTGCGACCGCCGATAACTCCAGATTTCCAAGATGTCCGGCGAAGATCTGCGTAGTAGAATTAACCCCATATAGACAAATAATGCTGAATGCGATCGGCGTCGCGATCCACCACAGCTTCATCGACTCTCCCACAAAGGTCTGCCAAGCGTCGCGCAAGCTCCTTACCTCCGGCTCATCGTCTACGTCCGGGAAGCCGGCGGCGACCGCATCGGCCAAATCCGCATCAGCTTCCGTCGTCGCAACAGGTGACGGAGACGGACCCGACCCGATATCGAAAGGGTGAATAGGCATTTGGTCCTCGTCGAGTCGTCGTAGTTGGTGAGAAGTGGGGAATCCATTGAAGCAATTGATTCTTTTTCGTCATGGCTCTCCGGGGCTTCGGAAGGCGCAGAGAGGAAAGCGGAGGGTTTGCAGCTCACGACAGAGGTGCCGAGTGGATGGAGGGACGGAGGAGTAGGGGGAGGAGGGCAAAAAACCTATGGAGCACATTAATCATATTAATTTTTAATAATTATGATTAAATTTGTTTAATATTTAAATTTTGAAAGATTCTCATGCTTTGAAAATTTTAAATGTGTGATATTAAATGAAAATTTAAATATTTTTTCCTAAATTTATGAAAAAAAAAACATATTTCTAAAATATAAAAAATTAAGTGTTAAATTTTGGAGATATTTATTCTTGCAAGCTTTTTTTTTTTTTTGGCATAAAACATATTTAAAAAAATGAAATACACTTATAATAATTTTGAAGATATTTTTATGAAATATATGCACTCATGCTTCATTGTGATAATAAAAAAACTATTTTCGTTTTTATATCTAAGTCTTATATAATTTTATCTCTTGTCATCATTTGCTTGTTATTTTGTGATGTAAAATCCCTCTATCTAAGACTTTATTAGTGGCTAATTGATTTCAAACTTTTATAAGGTATTTTCAAACATAAAATAGAGGTAAATTTTATCTTGAAAAATTTTAATGAGATATTAGGCTTCTCAAAATACAATGGTCCATCACCATCAACTATACATGAAAGGTTTAAAAGGGAATAATGGTCATTCCAAATCCTTACAATTATGGATGCCATAATAAAGGTGGGCCTCCATATATGAGGTAGCTACAATGACCCCCTGACCATGACAGTGACCTCCAACAACCATTTGAAAAAATCAAAATCATCAATGATTAAAATTAACACATATTACATTATCTAGAGCTATCAAAATCGGGTCACAGGTCAGGTTCGGTTCCAACCCGAAACTGTCATGACACTAGTTGACCCAAACTGAACCTGACCCATTTTTGCATACGGGTTAGCTTTTTCAACTCGGACCAGCACGGGTTGCCAGAGTGACCCGGCCTGACCCGTGGCTGGCACTTCACGCGACGCTGGCAAATGCTATCATTTAGCAAGGGCATACGCAGTTAATCATCATGGGCAGATGTGGTCAACACAAGCACTCGACACGACGCGGGCACTCGACACGACACTGGTAGATGCGATCAGCGCAAGCACTCAGCACGATAGCAAGCAACGCAAACGCGACGACGAGTAGCGCATTTTTCCCAGGTTAACCCAGTTTGAGTTTAGATTTTTGGGTCAACCCGAAACCTACCCATTTTTACAAAATGGCTGAATCTGGGAACCCGAACCCGACCTGTTTACGAAACGGATTGACCATAACCAAAAATTTTTAGCCAGGTTTGAGTCGAGTTTTCAGGTCATGTCAAATAATAACACCTCTAATATTCCCTCTTTTGTCCCAAAGATTATCATTTCATCATATAGGTTGGGTTCACTCTTGCATGGAATGTTTAGATTTAGGCTTAAAAAAAATCATAATTGTACGATTTCTTCTTCATGATCATCAATAATTCAACTTTTCATAAGTCTAAAATCCAAAGTCATAATCAAATAATATAATTTTATTATAATAATTATTTGTATTATCAGCACAATTAAGTATTGAACTAATACATAGATGAATAGATAAAAAAATAAATGTATTATTCATAAGATATTAGAGATAATGTTGAGTGAATCATTGTCACTTATTATACAATAGTTATTAATATATTCATACTATACACAAACTCAATATAAAATAAAATAAGTAATTAACTTTTAATAAATTTAAAATTACATATAATTATTGTTATTTTTAGAGAAATATAAAAACACGTACATTTTTAAGATTATAACAAAATTAAGATGACGAGACGACAAAAATGGGATGTTGTAGGGTTGATGAATATAAGTTTAGTTCGAGCAATTTTGTTCGTTTCATTGATTTACTTTTAGTTCGAGATATGATTTAATTTGAACTCAGTTAATTTCATAGTTGATAAATCATGAAAAAAATTCATTCGATCTAGCATGAATTTGAATGCAATATTTTAATTAAAAAAAGAAATTAAAGTTAAAGCAATTAAAACTCCAATTTTAACAAACTTATAATCGAGCTGAATGTCTCAATGAGAATAACCCATCAACTTCGAAGGCAATTGGATCTAACTCCAAATGAGCCCAAATTAAATGCTTGAAACCTAAATGAAAATTTTAGAGTATTAATTGGATTATCAATGATCTCGATATCTTGCATTCTTATAATCTAACCGAGCTTCTTGAGGACAAGCATTAAATAACATATAGATCACTTAATCTTACATCACTAAAGTACTTAAATGCTAAAAGAATATTCTATAATTAAGGGAAATATTAGATGTTTGATGTAATGTTTTGGATATTTACAAAGAATATCATCCTTAAATTTTATAAATACACACTAGTTCTATATTTGAAGGAGGAAGAGAACTTGGACATTTACTTGAAACGAGAGATAGCTTCGACATCAAATTGTTGCAACATACCCTGCTAACATGATCAATGTCATCCAATCACCGCCACCAAAGCATTACTATCCAACGACCACCATCAAATCATCATCATTCAACAACCATTGTTGAACCACCATTGTCAACCTATCATATTGAATCACCATTGGTAGACTAGTGTCATCCGATTATTATTATTGTATCTCTGCTCTCCAAACATTGTTGTCTCACCTCTATACTTTTACCATTGTCACCCTATTATGGTTGTCTAGCTACTGCGCTTGATTGCAGTCTCCCTACTTCCGTCACCTAGTTGTCATCATTTAACCACTATTGTTTGATTGCGGTTCTCCGACCATTTTTTCCTAATTGTGATATTTCAATTACCATCACCGAACTACAATCTTTTGACCATAGTTGCTTGACTATTGTCTAATATTGTCTCTCAACCGCTTCACATGAATACATTGATGCATGTCGATTTTGTCTCTATTCACTATCTACAATGCAAATACACACCAACAAGTATAAGGCTAATGCACCTCATTTACCAATGTTAACGCCTGGTAACTTCATCCTCAAGTGACAACCAACATCGACGCATACAATCGACTATAAGAATGATGCTCGCCGTCAACACCAACTCTAACTAACGGCGCAATGTCAACATCGAGATTTATATTTGACTTTTTTGCCCCTAGTATTCTGTCTTCAAAGGAGAACAACTGAACAAACATCAAACAATATTTTGAAGACGACTCCAATGCTCTAATCAACATCCACTATGGAATCATTAATCATTCACAGCTAATGTCTACATCATTGTATTAATATCATTTGTTGCAAATGACTTATACTGATAGAATCATTTCAAATTAATCAAATCAAGTAATTTTTCCCTTTCATAAGAAATAAACTTAAAATTTGACTTGAAATACATTTTTAGTGACTTATCCAAATCAATTTCATATAAGTTTTAAATTAAATAAATTAAAAAATTTTATCATCCTAGAAGAGAGAAATTGCAACATATGTAGTTAATATCAGGCTTATGAAGAAAGACAAACATATTTAACGTTATAAATAACAATTTTATAATTTTAAAATTTATAATTAAATAGTCTAAAAGTATTAAAAACAGTCATTTCACTAAATAAATAAATAAAAATCAAATCAAATAACTTAAAAAAATTCTCCCTATAATAAAAAAATACTAAACATAAATAGACAAATAGTAGATAAGAACTTACGAATTATTTAGCAATTTGATTTGAAACTTATCTGTTAGAAAATCTTAATTAATATTTAAGAGATCTCCATACAACGAAGCAATCTTAGATATTAAATGATACTAATAACATTATTTATTAATTTTCTTACAATTAAAAATTAGATTAATAGTAACGTGACTATTATTTTATGAGTTTATCGATATTATTGGATGTTAAATATGCGGTTATTATTAATTATTTCTCCGTAAGACATCCCTCCTCTATCAGCGTTTGCCACGTGTAAAACGGGGCCCACACATGATTCTATGCGGCCATGACAGCGGCGGCTGTGAAACTTGCGGCTTTCCACTGCATCGCGGCTGGTCCGCTGGTGCCGCGCCACGTCATTGCTATGCGTTCCGTAACATGAACCAGCGGAACACCGGAACTTGAGCGAGGGTAATTCCGGAAAAGCGGTAGTTGTAACTTGTGGTACGATAAGCCGCGTGGCAATTTTTGGCAAAGCTCCAATTTGGCTTCCTTTCAGTCCCAACTGGTTTTTGAGAAACGGAATATTTTCTTCTTCTTTTTTTCCTCTGTTATTTTTTCGGTTTATTTTTGTCGCTCGGTGTTTGATTTATCTTCTTTTTCGTTGCTATATATAAATATAAAGCGTGTTCGTCTACGCAAGTCTGTTTGTTTCTTCTCAACTTTGATTTCTCCTACCTCGGTGCTGATGAGGAGGTGAGAAGACGAAGCCCCGTTGCTTTTACCGGGGCTACTGAGGAGAGAGAAGAGGTCGGCGATCATTCGCGGCAGAACCGGTTGTTTTTTGCATAGTTTTGCGATTGGTGTTCGGAATTAAGGTTTGATTATAGATTGTTTATTTTTCTGATTGTTTCATGCAAATCCTGGCTGCTTTTTTGTGGAATTTTTGAATGGTTTGCTGTGATTCTGATGTAATTGAGGTTTTGGTTATTGCTAGGGCTAGTGCGTGTTGATCTTGTTGTGTTTATTGTTTGATTGATGGCTGCTTCCGAGTTCCTGTGTGAATTCCTGGGAGATGTGGCGCGCGTTAGATGTTTGTCGGTTTGTGTGTGGTTTGTTTATTGAGTTTCATTGAATTCGTCATAGAATTGGGAAAGTTGATTATTGAAATTTCGCTAGAACGGTTTAGTCATTATGCTTATTTCAGATTGAAGGGGGGACTTTAGAGTTAGAATTGGCTCTGTTAGCTCTGTATCCTGTTTTTTGGTTGGTGCTGGATTTGCGAGATTACAGAGGTAGATTTCTGTTGAATTAATGTGATACAGCCTGTTGGAGACGTAATCATTTCACGGTCATGACTATGGTTTTGTTTGGTTATGCTTTTTTGCTAGTTTGATTTGGAAAAATTGTTCCTATCACAATTTTTAATTGTACATCACAAAAAAATGTGGAGGGAAACGAGCAACAAATAGCAACGTTTTCACAAAATAGGAATACAGTTGAGATAGTTTTTGCATCTGAATGAGAGTAGTGATGATTTCATTGTGTGGAGCACAGAATGAATCCTATATCATGTTCATGCATTTTAATCACAGTTCATGTTCTTTTTATTGTTGCTTATTTCATTTGGAAGCCGGCCTAGGAATAGCTGAAGAAAGAAGTGCTTTAGGTTGAACTAGTGCTTGGCAATTTGTTGATGATGTAAAAGTCTCATATTCAATGAATAATCAAGAAAATGTCCTTTTCCAATTATCCAATTTCCTTTTAGAATCCAGCAGATTCAATACATTTTTTTGTGGCTGCTTAATTTCCTTTCATTCAATTTTGTCCCGTATTCTTAATATAATTTTCTGACTGAATTATCTTATACTTGTCTTAGGGAATTATTAGTCTGATTCAAATTTCTGAATAACCTTCATGTATTGTCCATCTTTGCGTTATTCAAAATTTTCCAGCTAAGATCTTTGTAAAAGTCGTATAATACGCATTTGTATGTTCATTGTAATTAGATCTTTCTCTTTCAATGTCTAATATAATATATCTTCATGACATCTGAGGATTCCGTGCTGGTGCTAATAGTTAACCCACTTAAGAAGGAATTCATAGAAGACTTAATAATCTGTAGGGAAAATATGTTGAACTTTGTAAATTACCATGGCTTGTCTTGTGTTATTGTCTTAGTGCTTTTTACACTACTAATTATTTAAATTAGAAATAGGTATGAAGTTGTTTCTGCCAAAAAAATTTTAGCTACAGATTTATTTTCTTTTGTATTGCTTATGGTCCTTGTGGATGATCTCCCTTTTGTACGATGCCATATTGTCGTGTCAACTAGTTCATCTGTGGGCATGCCAGACCAAGCACTCTTTGTTGTGGATGGAATATCACATGTTTTTTAACATCAAATCAATTTTAGCTGGTAATCAATGAGAAGATGCACTAAAGATCCCAATGCTATTGTTGAGTATAAAGAAATGTTTGAGGGTTATGGATCTATAAAATGGTACTATTGAACTATAAATAAGCATCATACCAATTACATATTGAACTAGGAAGATATACCTTTTATTGAAAACTAAGCTGGATTTTATAGTGATAAATTATTGGTGGTGGCTTTTTGCTACAAATATATGATCTCTAGAGTTAAAACAATCAACGGTCAGTGTAGAGCTAATGTGATCAAGTTACTTCTTGAAATCATAATTTTGTGAGATTACAGCCTGCTTGGTTTTGTATTTTTCAGTGTCTAGGGCTGTCTCCAAATATTAAGTCTGGTGATAATGGTACTGGAACTATTCCTGAGATGGAACATTTATAAGTGCTTCACTTATAATACTTAATTCTTGCGGTAATGTAAACCAGTAATTGCGTTATTTTCCTGAAATCCCTGAATTCTGAATTTTTTTGTATGATGGTTTTTCATCTTACGTTTAGACAGTTTAGGTGTTGCGTTACTCAAAAATGGTTCAAACCAGCTAGCACTTCTGTCATTCCTAATATGTTTTAATAAAGAATTTTTTTCGTTCTAATTATCTAATCTTGATTCTTATCATTTTCGTGACAAGAACAGTTTATTTTGTAATTCCTACTTGATTTTCATTTTCGTATAAACAGTTTTGAAGGGGACCAGCATACGGCATCTTAAAACAAGAAATGGGTGGGTGTTGCTGCCATTCAGCCAGAAGAACTGAATCACATGGACCACCTGTCTACTACTATGTAACTTGTTTCCTAAACTTCTGTGTCTATTCTAGCTAGCAAAATTTTAAGCTTGCCGACTCTTTGATCTTCTGCCATTCTTAACAAAACGTATACGTGAGAATTATTCCTTTATTATAGCAGAAATTTTTTTAATGTTTGTGACTTGTTTCTAAGATTCAACTTATCTGCTTCGTATATTCTTTTTATAAAGGTACTATAAGTTAAATATCACAGATATTTGAATTGTTTTATTCATCAATTATGTTATTCCAGTTCTTAAATTTGTCCAGAATTATTGATAATGAATTGCTCAAAAGAATTAATTGGGTATAATGACAAACATCAGCATGTAGTGATATCTCATCCAATTTTCTAGACTATTGTTTATAATCTAGTAAATGCACATTTTTCACTCTTTTGGTTCTTTTATATATCAAGAATGAAAAATGCATAAATCAATTTGGGCCGGTATGTTACTTTTATGGTTAAGGAGCTGGATCTCAATGCAATGATATGAAAGAAGAAAACCAAATTTCTGGAGAAGATATTTTATAGGAGTAATTGTGGTTATAATATGTACTAAGTTTGAAAAAGAAAAAAACTAAGTAAAATATTGTAAGAAGCTTTAATTCTTTTTAGCAGTCAACAGCTGGATACTACGGATGTTAGCTATATGATAAAATATGGTTCTATGATTGATGGAGGGTTGACAATTAAAAAAATTCATGGAAGGTTGGTGGAGGATATAAAGTATGGGTAGGAAAGCAGTGAGGGAGGGAACAAGGGAGTCTCGAAAGTAAATCTAAATTACAAGTGATGCATTTTGCCTTAGAATCTAAGATTTTCTTGGATTTTATGCAAAAAAATCAACCTCATAATAATAAATTCATAGTTCGCAATTTTTTTTTTTTAATTTTGGCAATTTATCATCCCCTTGCATAAAAACTAGAAACTCAAATATGAAGAATCAATAATTTAATAATTCTATAATAGAAATCATGCATAGAAATTCAAAATCAACATAATTGATGCACCTCATATAGAGTAATCCATTAGTCGTCACATTTAGATTTATAACCCTATGGATCCATCAATAGTGAACATAATCTCAGCATTTAATATTTACTTTTATAACAGGATTTGTAGAATTATTTGTTAGAATATTGGATGAGAATTCATTTACATCAAATCCAGCAAACAGTGAGATGAAACAAAGATTTTATTTCACTATTCATTATTTTTTACATGTCTCAAGGGTCCTATTGATGACCTAAAAATTTCATAATCAGTAACTTAAAAAACCACCAAAGACCTGACATAATATTGCAAGTTTCAATTTAGCATACTCGAATTACTTGCCAACTTTATTTTCAGCAAAATAGAAAATTTCCACTTTCAGAATCCATTTACTTTAATTCCAGCAATTCCAATGCAGCATAATTGTATTCTCTATCTCTAATACTTGTATTTCTTTCTTTTAGTGTCCAGAGGATTTTGAGGAGGATGAACCTTTGTCTTCCACTCATGATCCACCTTCTGCAGTTCCAGTACTACCTGTTGATACAGTTCCTGCTACTTCAATCGCTGATTCTTGTCAAGAACCAAATGCACTGCGCCTTCATGAAGATTTTTCTCACACACAATCTATTACTGGAAGAGTTGATAACTTCGCCAAAAATGAGTATAGGCAGCCAACCGATGGCGTACCAATGGGGGATATCCTAAGGGACAGGTTTGAAGGTTCTGATAACTGTGATGGTTTGAAAGAATCAGAACACAAGAGTGTTTCGGACTTTGTAAGCAATTCTCCTAAGCTTAAAGAGAAGCTTTCAAATTTAGAAAATTCAATAATGCTTGCAACAGATGAGGAGGATGTTTGCCCCATCTGTCTTGAAGGTAGCATTCTTTTCACTTAGTTCATGCTGTATTATGCAATTTTAGTTATTGCAGTTTGCCATTAGTTTTTTGACCTCCTGTGCATAGAACGATCGAGTTACTTGAGAAAGTTTCTCATGTCTTCTGCAGAATATAATGCTGAAAATCCTCGGATCATTACAAAATGTAAGCATCATTTTCACCTGTCATGCATTCTTGAATGGTTTGAGAGGAGCAATACCTGCGCCATATGTGATAAGGTATGAATGAAGAAACCAATGTTTTCGAAATTGATTGTAGCAAATCTCTGATTTTCTTCTTTATAATGTGTTTTTGATATCTTTCTAAATTTAGTTTGTAAAAAATCAAATACAATATAAATACCTGCTTACTAAAAGTTTGGTTTGAAAATTTTTTCTTTTCATTTAATTTTATTTTCCGTAGACGTTTGGAAGAGGATGTACCTTGGTGTATGCTTTTTGTTGATGATATTCTTCTTGTTGATAAGACTAGAGAGGGAGTTGAAGGTAAACTTGAATTATGAAGGTCAACCTTAGAGTCTAAAGGTTTTCGCTTGAGTAGATCTAAAACTGAACATATGGAGTATAGTTTTAGTAGTAATAAACCTAGTGAGGGGATTGTGACTTTGGGCGATCAAGTAATTAATAAGAGTACATATTTTAGATATCTTAGATCTATTGTTCAGAGTGATAGTGAAATAGATGGGGATATTATCAGTAGAATTCAACTTGGATGGTTGAAATGAAGGAATGCATTATGCTTATTTTGGATCTATTGTTCAGAGTGATAGTGAAATAGATGGGGATATTATCAGTAGAATTCAACTTGGATGGTTGAAATGAAGGAATGCATTATGCTTGTTATGTGATAGAAAAGTCCCCCTCAAACATAAGAGAAAATTCTATAAGATGGTGGTGAGACCTACAATGCTTTATGGTGCCGAATGTTGGCCATTAAAAGAGAAGCATAATGCTAAGTTAAGTGTTGCAGAGATGAGGATGCTCAGGTGGATGAGTGGCTTTACCCTTAAAGATAGGATACGAAATGAGCATATACGTGAAAAGGTTAGAGTAGCTCCAGTGGAAGATAAGATTAGAGATAGACACCTTAGATGGTTTGGTCACATAAAACGGCGGTCTGTTGATGATCCGATTAGAAAAGTTGAGGTATTAAATTTGACTTATGTTAAAAAAGGTAGAGGTAGACCTAAAAAAACTTTGTTAGAAAATATTAGAAATGATCTTTTTTTTATTAGATTTAAATGAGAATTTGATTTTTAACATGACACAACAGAGAAAAATGATTCATGTAGCCCACCCCACGTAGTGGGACAAAGGCTTGATGTTGTTGCGACAAATTTTCAACAGGAGGTGGTGAACAAAAATCATACTTTTCATGATATATAATTTTGATATGATATTAAAAACATGTCAACTATAGTAGGTGAAACAATATTTTATACATATTTTTATGAGTGGGAAGACTTTCTTTCCTCTTTATTTTCTTTATAGAATCATCCTATCGTTTCAGTAGTCATATCCAAAGCATTATGAAAATTTGTTTTTTGCAGATCATGGAGGTTGATAATATGGCTCTCTTTGACCAAACCCTGTAGATATCTCATTGCGGATTAGCCTTTTTCATTCCTTGTTTGCATAAGCTGTTGCGATTGCGTTGTCAATCTGCACTGCATATGTTTGATCTCCTCCTGATGCCAATAATTTAGTGGAAAGGTTTGATAGAAAAGGAAAAATTACGTTTTTTTTTTTACCCACCCGTGAAGTTTACAATATTTCTTTTTGGTTGATCAGAAAATGCCTTGGGTGATAAGTTTCTAGTAAGTTCTTTAGCGTTTTCATGTCTCATGTACAGCTTTTTTATTTTTTCTATTGGGTGACAATGATGATTCGTCTGCAGTAGATCTCTTAAATCTGTATAATTGTACAGTTTTTTTCGGTGCTTGTCCTGTTTGTTATTTGTTTGAACTTCCTTGAGGATGAATAATAGATTGGATCATTTCTTTTATTTATTTATTTTTTATTGAGGTGAGAAACTGAAAGAAAATTTTCTGATTTTAAAATTTAGTTATGATGAGCTTATTATTTATTGAATTTGTTTTAAGGTAATTGTAATATATTGATAATTAAAAACTTTTGAATTAAGTAAATTTAATAGGTAGAAAATTTATGATGATCAAATTTGAATTTCTTTTCAGAATTGATATAATTATATCTTTGAATAATTTGGCTCAAGAATTGACCTTTGGGTGCTAGCTTCTTTAGGAAGTTATTCTCATTTTTATTTTGCATCTTATTTTTTCATTATTTTATTAAGATGAATAAGACTTTTAAGACACCTTTCCTTTACAGGTAGGAAATAAAAGAGTTTTTAGGTGTAAAAAAAATTATTTTTTATTCTAAAATACAGTGAGAAGTATATCAAATAATAATTCGCCTCCGATCTAACTCTATTTTTTATATTATAAAGGCCTGAATGTCGCTTGGTTGGAGATGCCTCGCCAAATCATTACTTCACAAATCTTCTGTTTTTTTTTTTGCAGAGAAGTTCGTTATTTGAAAAAGAATTTGAGAATTTTAGTGGTTTGAGTTTGAATGGTCATTCTGCCTGAACAAATAATAATTTAAAAAAAAGGATTGATTTCAGTGTTATGCAGAGATGACATATTTTTAATTTTTTTATTTAATTTAATTATAAATTTATATTTAAATAAGATTTAAATTTTAATCATTTTTAATTAAAATTTTAAGTTGTCAGATTCTAAAGAGTTGCATGATAGGTAGGGGCTATTTGATTGTATTACAAAAAGGTGTACAAGTACTCCAAATGCAAGGTTTTGAAAATTTTGATTTTTTATTGAATGAAAAATGAATGTAAAATAAAGTAAATATAGTGTAAATTATTTCTAATACTGTTTGGTTAGTTTAAAAAAGGAATGCAGTGTAAAAAAAAATACTTTAATGTTGTTTAGATGAACGTAAAGTAAATGCAAGTAAATGTTTTTTTATTTTTTATTTTTACATACATAACATTTAAAACAATTCAAAATACATATTTAACACCCAAAGTACTATATTTACTAATATACCACCTAAAACTCTTATTTTCATCTTTTATAACACTCCGTTAAGCTCCTCATCGCGTCTTTCGTTACTTCATGCGAGGATTGACGACGAGCTTTCGAAGCCATCGCTTTCTCCATCGATTTCATCCTGTTCGGCAAGGCATGGAACTCGACGCTCGTTCTAGCTCGGCAAGGTATGCAACTCGACGCACGTTCCAGCTCAACTCGTCTTCCCCGTCCAATTCCTTGATGGGATTTTTGGGTTTTTTTGTTGCTTGATCTTATTTTCATTTTCATTTTCATTGCTGTTTGACTTAATTTACACGCAAAAAAACTAGAGATAACAGAAACTAATCCACAAAATCTGCTAGCAGTTCTACGAAAAGAGAAGTACTCAAAAATCCGGAAGCATTCCAGAAATATGAAATGAATCTGAAATTTGCTAGCATCCCAAAAATTTCCCAGCATCCCAAAAATTTCCCAGCATCCCAAAAAACGATGTATGATCATTTTTCCACGAGTAGTGGTTGATGTATGCAGACGATCATCCATTTGAATGTTGTCACCTGTCACTATTACTTGAAGCTGGAACTGAAGTAGCAAGACAGAAGAGAAGGCGACAGGTTTTTACTAGAGGAGGCGAACGGAAGACAGTCGCGCGAACGGAAGATAGGAAATCAAAACTTTAGGGCATTTAAATATAAAGCGCGTTCGGTTCGCCGGAGAAGAGAAGAATGGTCGTGGTGGAGGCGGCCGGAGAGAAGGAGCAGAAGGTGATTTTGGTGGGTTTAACTAATTGCAAGGAAAGCTTCTACGCGCTAGATTGGATCCTCCGCAACCACTTCTTCGGCAAAGCCAAGCCTGGAGCTGCTGCTTCAAAGCTCGTCGTCGTCTACGCCAAAGCTACCCCTTCCTCTGTCATCGGCTTCAGTGGCTTAGGTCTGCTTCAAAGCTCGTTGTCGATCCTCGCATGAATTAACGGAATACGCGATGAGGAGCTTTTAACGGAGTGTTATAAAAGATGAAAATAAGAGTTTTAGGTGGTATATTAGTAAATATAGTACTTTGTGTGTTAAATATGTATTTTGAATTGTTTAAATTGTTATGTATGTAAAAATCCCTTCTTTTTTTTTTTTTTACTTTAAAAATGAGCTAAAATAGTTTACATTGTATTTACTTTACTATGATTCACTTTGTACTCCAACTAAGCATAAAAAATTTTAAGTCCCCTGCATTTGAATAATTTCACCACTTTGTATTTCAAGTAAATAGCCTAGTTTATTTTTTATGTAAAACAAACTTGCCCAGTTTTGATCGAGAAATGTTTACACCACAAGCTAGCAAGTTCGCTTGTTCGTCGCCAACAGCCGTCGGCCATAATCATCGACTGCAGGGAAAAATATATATCTTTGGGCATCTTAAACAATTATTGATACATCTAATAGAAAATCGTTTTCGAACACAAATTTTGATGCAATTTTTATGTTGGAAATTTATAGGATTAAATTTAGGATCTTTTAAAGTTTGATTTCCTCAAACTTATAATCAAATTGGACATCTCGATAAGATGAACTCATTGAAACTAAAAGTGATAGAATTAGACTCCAATTAAGCCCATATCATGCATTTAAATATCAGTTAGAAATTTCAAAATGTTAATTACATGACTATATTTATAATCAAATCAAGCATCTCGCTGAGAATAATCTAATTATTCCAAGATTGCTTAAATATGATATCATTAAGGTACACAAATATTGAAAAAAAATATTATCAAAGTTTAATATGAGCAGTCTTATAGATTGTTCCGGATTTTAACTATGCTTACATAGCATGCTGTTCTAAAAAATTATAAATAGACATCAACTCTTTATATAAAAGAGATTCTGAGCTTGAGATAATTGGAGTTCAAAGGCTTAAGAAATCTCTGAGCTCCTCCTGACCACCACATAACCTTTGCTATCAAACCACTACCAATTACAATAGTCAAGTCGCCACCCAATTGTAATAATCACATCACTGCCTGATCATCATCCAACCATCATCGTCAGATCACTATTGTTGCCATCCTAAAATCATCATCGCCTGACCCATTCACTTTGTCACATGTTATTGTTTGGTCATCATCGCTCGACCTTTACTATCAAACCGCTGCTATCCAAGTATTGCAACCAGACTCCTATTATCCAACCAATTATTGCCAAACTACAATCATTTGACAACCATCGCTCAATTACAATTCATTGGCCATTGTTGCATGATTATGATCTCCTGGCACCTTCACCCAATTATGGCCCGTTAATCATCATCACCCAATGTTAGTCCTTCAATTATCTTTACTCGATTACGATTTTTTGACCACTATCACATGATTACGATCTATTGACCTTTATCACCCAACTTTAGTCCTCTTAGGATCTCCCGACCACCATCACAAAAAACAGTCTCCCGACCATCATCAATTAACTGTAATTCCCTAACTATTTTTTGCTTAACTATGATCCTCTAACCATCAACACCCAATTATAATCATCTGACTTTGATCCTTATATCCTCTCTAGACAATCATTGTCTGATTTCAATCCTCTAATCACCATCATAAGACTAATTCTCCGACTTGGGGTGTAAATGATTCTAGTTGGGCTCGAGTCACCCTAACTTGAGCTTAAGCTTGATTAATTAATGGGGTTTGAGCTTAAGCTAGAGCTTAATTCTACAAGTTCATATCAGCTCATAATCCTGCTTGCATAGAGAAAAAATAATTATGATTTAAGCAATTATAACAAAATTATAAAAAATAATGAGAAATTAGAAAACAAATACTAATGAACCACTTCATATAAGAAAGTAAGATATAATTTTTAAATATTTTTAATAGTTTTTTACTTGAAGTCATGAATTCTAATATGTTTTAAGTATATTTTATATTGATTTTATTTAATGAGTTGACTTGTAAGCTAATGAGCCAAATCAAGGATAAATCATGCTTGGCTCGTTAGCTCATCGAGATTGACTAACGAGCTATTTATCAAGTCGAGCTCAAGTTGGCTTAACTCACTTACATTCCTACTCCCGAATTTGGTTATGATCATTCAACTATCGTCACCCAATTATAGTCTTTTAATTGTCCAATTGTGATCCTTCAAACATCATTATCTAACTAAGATCTCCTATTAATCGCCACTCAACTATGATCCCTTATTATATTATCATTACCTATTTTTCCTAGCTACATTGGCGTCCACTTACTTTGTCACTCACCGTCTTTAATAGCGTAGACAAATGCCATTACATGCAAGGCTGATGTGTGTTGTTAACACCAAGTCGCTCTCAACATCATCATCAAATTTTTTGTCTCCGGTTTGCCCTCCATAAATAGAAGAACCAAACAGATATCAAATAATCTCTTGAAGACAACTTCCATGCCACATATGAATCTTCCGAGTTTCATCACAAGATTTATTTTATATAGTATAAGTCTTCTCTATTTTATGAACATCTTTTCCAATGGCAAGAAATAACATCATTTGTAATCGAAGACAAACGCTAGTATAATCATTTTAATCTGGTCAAATCCCATAGTTTTTTTTTTCCTTCCAATTTTTTCATATAAAAACTTTGAAGTCTCTTATGATAGAACTTTGTACGATATTAAGACGTTAAACTATTTTTTCTACTACGATTAATTTTTTGGCATACAATTATAAATGTTCTATAAAATATATTTGAATATTTTTAGATCTTTTTCAATTTTATACGATAATAATAAACCCAAAAATAAATTGTTTTATAAATATTTCAGACTGGCACAAAAATCAATAAATACAAAATATTTCAAATAATATTGTATCCTAAGTTGTTTTAATAAAAATATAATAAGGTCATATTTGTATCTGTGTATCTGACGCCCATTAAATTTTTTTAAAAAGTAATATAATTTCAATATTAAAATAAATTCAATAATTTTAAATTAATAATGATACAAATTATATCATAACTCCCTCAAATATTTATATTTAAAAAATAATTCATATATTATCTCATAATTACCAAGAATATCTCATGCTTATTTATTTTTTGATAAATACAAAGAAACAAAATTTTAAGTGATTTATGTATATTGTGTTCAAGATGATATAATTTATAGATTTAATACATAAATTTAAACGTTTATTCACATGATATTTAAAACTTTGAATATCAATTTCTGTATCAGAACTTCATACCCTATCGAGATCCTCTCATTGGAACAATTATTAGGTCCGGTGACCAGACGTAGCTCTACGTTCGATCACAACTGAGTTACCCGGTATTTGCTCGGTATTGCTAGGTATTGCTTGGCAATAACGAGAAATACCGCTTTGTGAAGAGCAATACAGAGTTTTTTTAGAAAAAAACTCGGTATTGCTCGGTATTTGTCTTCACATAATGGTATTTCTTGTTATTGCTGAGCAAAATCGACAAATACGTGGTTTTGTGCCAGCTACATGGCGCGATTTAGTGCCGGCCGAACGTAACTCTACGTCCTTTCACCGGACCAAATAAAAGTTCCTCTCATTGAGCTTTGGACGTGTTAATATCTGTCTCCACTTTCACATGCCAGCGATCCCATTACCATCGTCAAACAAAAATGCAATGCTCTAGCTTTTAAATGTCTTTTCTTGGTGGAAGCCCGTCTCTAAAAAAATTATTACGTGCGAAATCTATATATGTTTATAAATTACACACATTTTATGTACAAGTTATACACATGATGTGTATGAATCATGTAGCTTCTGCACATTAGGGGTGTCAATTTCGGGTGATGGGTCGGGTTCGGGTCGAACCCGGAACTGACCCGGGTTCAATCAGGTCGACCCTAACCCCACCCAGCAACCCGGATTTTTCGGGTCGAGTTTTCGTGTCGTGTCAAATATTGGCAACCCTAGTGCACATTGAAGCCTGAAGACAAGCTATGTATAAATTCCGCACATAATAATTTCTCCCATCTCTAAAGTATCCTATTGCAACTTCCATAAGAACTGTTTGGTTGCACCCATAATTTGATTTTAGTAGGATTTCGTAAATCCTCTAAATCCGGATTTCAGAAAGCTTGAGGGGCCTAAATCCTGAAAATTGTTAGGTAACATTCATGATAAAACCTATTAAATATTGTGTGGTTGTTTGGCTATAGAGCGGATTTAACGAGCATACTCTTACTCTCAAGCCAATGAATTTCATACATCCGGCAAAAAAATAGGATTTTGAAAAGTCAAAATTTTCGTCTACGGCGGCTTTCATTTGCCATGAGATTTGGTTATGTATTATATGCCGTTTGGCATGATTTCGATCAAATCCGACCTAAATCTTGCTATCAAACAACTCCTTAGTCCAACAAAATCGGTCACAACTTCTCTTTGTTTCTCTTTTTTCCATTAGAACCATTTCTACTGTTTCTTTATCATTATTATTGTCATTAGGAGTTTCATTAACTCCATTATAAAAAATACTATATTATATAAATAAAATTTAAAGGTTAAATATATGAATAAAATAATTTTAAATATATTATATATAAATTCTCCAATTTTTTTATTTTTTTCACATATTCATCATCCTTCGCGCCTCCTTCAGGCAATTTTTTCCTTGCTTTTTCAGAAAGCTCCAGAGTTCATTCATGGTAGATACATAATGCTCTGCTCACTATTGAAGGAGAGAGAAATAGATTAAAATGGCGGTAAAAATCTGCATCTACGCCCTCCCTACTCTCTTCATTCTCGTCTCCTTCCTCTCACACACTTTTGCTTCCAAAACCCTAAACCCAGAACCAGAGCTAGCAACCCTAAGTTCTCCGCCCCTGATTTCTTTCAACACCACAATCCTAAGCCCCAACCGTACATTCGAGCTTGGATTCTTCTCCGTCGACGGTGGATCAACCTATTACCTGGGTATCTGGTACGCCTCCATTCCCATTCGCACCTACGTATGGGTGGCAAATCGCCTCGCCCCCGTGCGAGCATCGCCGCCGTCGGCTCTTCTGACCATCGCTGGCCGCCTCGCCGTCGCTGACTCCTCCAATTCCATTCTGTGGGAGTCGGAGAACTCTACTCCCGCCGCCGCAGTTCAGCTACTCGACACTGGAAACCTTGTACTACTCTCTGTCGGCGGCCGAGGAGCCATTGCGTGGCAGAGCTTCGACTTCCCCGCCGATACATGGCTGCCGGAGATGGCAGTGACGGGCAGCGTGGCGATCACGTCATGGAGAAGCCCCATGGATCCGTCTCCCGGTGAGTTCTCTCTCCGGCTTCGCCCGCCAAAATTCGGTGAGTTCGAGCTCGTCTTCAATGGCTCGGTTTCGTACTGGTGGACGGGGAACTGGACTGGGACAAGATTCACTGGCGTCCCCGAGATGACGGTGCCGTACATCTATAGCTTCAGGTTCTCAAACCCGTTCACGCCGGAGGCTGCGTTCGATTACTCACAGTCCACGTCGGCTGAGTCCGGTCTCCAGCCCCTCCTCTCGCGATTCGTCGTCGATTCCTCCGGCCAGCTGATGCAGTACACTTGGTCCCCTCAGGCGGATAGCTGGAACATGTTCTGGTCTAGGCCAGATGACCCCTGCCGCGTCTACGGCCGATGCGGTGGTCTTGGTCTCTGCTCCAGCGGCCGCAGCCTCCGGCCTTGCACCTGCCCGACGGGACTTCGCCCCGTTGATCCAACAGGGTGGAGCTCCGGCGACTTCTCCAGTGGATGCTCCCGTGACGCCCTCTGTACTGATGAGGATAGCATTTTCAACGAGATCGGCCACATCGAGCTCGATGGCGCCGTCGATGCCACTTTCTCCGACTTGAGCCGCGGCTCCTGTGAGGAATCTTGCAGGAAGAACTGCTCCTGTTTCGGTATCACCTACAACTCAGAATCTCGCATCTGCACGAATCTGTACGTGAGCGCTTACAATCTCCGCAACAGTACAGCCTCCGCGACTCTATTCATCAGGATTTCGCCGGGAAAGGTGTTATCGAAAAAGTCCAAATGGAAGGTACGAATTCTTATCATCGGCATCATCTGTGCTCTCGTTGCAAATATTGCAATCGCACCCCCCCTCGTCATCATCGTGCACCGGCGGCTTCGGCGACTAAGAAGAAGGGAAGAATACGGAGGAGAAGATGTCGGCCTGAAGGTTTTCACCTACAAGGAGCTCTCCTCAGCAACGCGCGGATTTTCAGAGAAGCTTGGGCACGGAGGTTTTGGCGCGGTTTTTCGCGGCTCGCTTCCGGATTCAACGCCGGTGGCCGTTAAGCGGCTCGAACGCCCGGGCGGTGGCGGCGACCGCGAGTTCTGCGCGGAAGTGCGCACCATCGGAAGCGTACAGCACGTAAACCTTGTCCGCCTCCGTGGCTTCTGCATAGAAGATCCACACCGCCTCCTCGTCTATGACTACATGCCCAACGGTCCCCTCAGCGCCTACCTCGGCCGCGGCTCCAAACGACCGCGGCTCAGCTGGCCGGCCAGTTTCCGCGTTGCCGTCGGCACGGCACGTGGGGTCGCCTATCTCCACGAGGAATGCCACGATTGTATCATCCACTGTGACATTAAGCCGGAGAACATCCTATTAGACTCCGATTTCACCCCTAGGGTTTCTGATTTCGGATTGGCAAAGCTGGTGGGGAGGGATTTGAGCAGGGTATTGGCGACCACACGGGGGACGCGAGGGTACGTTGCACCGGAGTGGATCTCCGGTGTGGCGATCACGGCGAAAGCTGATGTGTACAGCTATGGTATGACGCTGATGGAGATCATTGGTGGTCGGAGGAATGTGGAGGCGCCGTCTCCGCAAGCGGCTGCGGGAGATGAAGTAGGGGAAGAAGGGTGGTTCTTCCCGGCGTGGGCAGCGAGGAAGATTGTGGAGGGGGATTGGGGGGCGGTTTTGGAGGAGGAAGTGGAGGGTTATGATGGAATGGAGGCGGAAAGGGCAGCGAGAGTGGCGGTGTGGTGCATACAGGACGAAGAGGCCGCCCGGCCGACGATGGGGACTGTGGTGAAGATGCTTGAGGGGACGGTAGCGGTGGCGGCTCCTCCTCTACCGAAGATGATGCAGGCGCTCATCGCCGGCGAGTCGTTCCGGCATGGGAGTTCTTCGTCGGCCGGAGAAATTTTGGTTGAAGACGGAGCGGGGGCGGCGGGCGATTGTCGACGGTGATTTGTTAGGGTTACCCTGGGTGCAGATACCGCCGAGTCGTTGTGAATAAAGACAAAAATTATCAAAGAGGAAAGGGTGGTGCGGGTCCCACTTGAGCTAGAAGTACAGTGGCTCGTGGGAAAGCAAGGTGCCGATATTTTGAATAGTTTATTTATTTAACAGAAATGCTAAAATGACCGTAATTTCTAGGCTAGTAAATCAATGATTAACAGCCATTTTTTTTGTTTATTTAGAAGCTGCAAATGGTCCATTTTTTAATATTTTATTATAATGATATGCATCGAAATTGGATGCCAAATTTGATTGAATCATCATCCGAAATTTCAACCAATATTATTAGTACTATTGTTTTTTTTTTCCCCTTAATTTTTATGCTTGCATTATTGAATTTTATGATTATTTGAATAATTTATAATAGAAATTCGACAGCAATCTTATGATTCATTTAGGACAACATTTGTATTACGTTTAAAAGCAATTTTTTAATTTGAAAATATTTTGAACTAAAAAATTTCTATTAGAAGCTGCCTTAGAAAGAAATAAGAAAGTTATCTCAAATTGAACCTTAGATTTAGGCTTAGTTTGGGATGACTTTTTTATCGCTTCTTTTAAAAAATAGTACCAAAAATTTTTAAATTAAGAGTTTTTTTTTAAAAAAATTGCTTTATAAAATAATAAAAAAATTGTCTCAAACTAAGATTTCATTTGGGAGGGTTTTTTTATTGCCTTTTAAAGTTGCTTTTTAGTATGCAATTTGGGTTCTTTTTTTTTTAAATGTCGTGGTGCTATATGTCTGAGTGGCCAACATTGCGTACCCGCGCACCCCAATTTTATGTTTCAAAGCGCCCCAATGTTAAACGACGGAGAGTAGAGTATCACAGTTGTATATATACGATGGTGTAGAGAATCAAGACAGATGTTCAAGCACCACAACGCTCCAAATTGGTGTCGCAGCACTGCGAGATAAATTAAACAATTTTCTTTCTAATTTTTCTGAAGGGTTGCATCTCTTGGGGTTATTTTATTTGATTTTTTCTTGTATTTTGGTATGGTAGACATTGAGAATGTTGTATGTGAGAAGAGAAGAATAGGGAGAGCGAGAAAGAAGTGAGATACGTATCTCCCAATTTTTATAATGAATTTCTTGGTGTGATGTGGCTCACTGATTTTTTCCCTAATTCGAGTTTTTTCACATTAAATCCTGATGTGATTTATTTTCCGATGTTTTTATTTTTTTGCTTGTTTCGCCATCATAGTGTTTTCTCCTCCTCAGTCTCAACTTTTTTAAGCTTCTTTAAACCTGCCCTCAAGTTGAAACTTGGTAAATGAAAACACTCTTGATGATTGACATGATATTTTAGTCTTCATTTGGGACAGTTTCAAATCATTATTTTTTTCCTGTTTTGAAGAAATTTTTATACTAAAAGCAGTTTTGCAAAGCAATAAGAAAGCTATCTCTAAGCAGTAAAAAAGCCTTAGGCTTCGTTTTAGATAACTTTTGATCCCAAATTTTTCATTGTTCTTTTTTTTAAAAAAATTGAATTAGAAAATTATTTTTTTAAATAGTAGAAAAATTGTTCCAAATAAAGTTTTAAATCACCTATTTTGATAATAAGAGCTAGAATTTCTTGTATTTTCAGATTTTGGTAACCTGCTTTCTCTTCTTTTTCTAGCTTTCACTAATTTAAATGATATGCAATGTCTTTGAACTTTGAATTTTGGGGACATTATCATTGTTGTTGTCCATTGGAATGTTATTTTTGTGTAGGTTTTGACATTGTTTTGCAGGTCAGAAGATTGACTCTCCTTACCTGGGCGACTTTTGATCTCTATGATTTTGGTTTTGTATCTTGCATGCTTTGACTCTTCCTCTCTGACCAACGGTGTTCGATCACATATGGTTCTCTGTCATGGATTACACAAGTTTTAATTAAGGCTTCGTTTGGGATGGTTTTTTAGTTCACTATTTTCAAAAAATTTAAAAAAATAGTAAGAAGGTTGTCCCAAATAAAACCTAATACTTGTATTATGCGCAATCGGCCTGAGGGCCCTGTTTTATAAATTAAGGTTTAATTTGGGATAACTTTCTTATCACTTTTTAAAACAGCTTTTTAGTATAAAAATTTTTTGTTAAAATAAATTTTAGAAATTTTTATGTTAAAATTCTATTTAAGAAAGTAGTAAAAAAATTATGTAAAACTTGGGTTTCATTTGGAATAGCTTTTATGTTGTTTTATAAACAAAATTTTAGTTCAAATTCTTTTAAGGAAAAAAAAAATATATTAAAAAATTACTTTAAAAATAAATAATAAAGCTATCCCAAACTTAGGTTTCATTTAGGATGACTTTATTACTATTTTTTAAATCAACTTTTTAGTTAAAAAATTAAATTTTTCTACTAAAAAGCTACTTTAAGGAGCACTAACAAATTAAACAAACCTTATAAGAGTGAATGTAGGAAGATGAGAATTATTTTGTCAGTGATCTATATTCAAGTAAATATATTATTTTCATAATTCAAAATATTTTTTAGAGGTATTTACATACATACCACAAAAAAAATTATACATTTACAAATCTAACACCTAAAATTTTAGACTTTTTCATAAGCACCCAAAATCACAATAAAAAATACAGCCAATATTACCTTTTTAAAAATGAAATCCACATTTTCATATATATGTTTCCATGTGATTGAAACATTAAAATATTGTATAAGTAAATAAATAAGAATTATGTGCTATATATGTAAATTTCCTTAAAATCTTATTTTTTTTAGGATATATTCTATACGCAACATTTATGATTGAGACCTCCGCTTTCTTTAGTAGTTGAGGTTACTGAAAATTATATTGTTGATCATGTGTTTAACCAAGAGGATGAGTTTGAGTTCAACCTTGCGCTCCTTGTTCCCCTTATGTCATTGAACTATGATCATAAATAGGCTACTAAAGTCGGCTTATTTAATTCATCTCGTCCAAATGTGAAGAAATTTAATAATCCTTTAATAGGAAATCCTCAACATTCTACAAATGCTTCAAATGGGAACTCTAACTTAGAGTCCAATATTCCAAACACTAATAGAATCATTTTAACTGAATCATATTCCATAATTTTTTTCCTTTTTAGGATTTTACACATACGAATTTTGACTCTATCTGCATTTGATATTCGTGTAAAGTTGAGACGCTAAACTCTATATCTATCTACCGTAATTAATGAATATCCCGACACACAATAATAATCAATAAAATAGGTTTTTTTTTTAAAGTTGAAACAAAATTTACTTTACATATATAATTATTTTATTAATAAGATTTAAATATGAAGATGTTTGTTATAAAGCTTATCACTATTTTTGAAATTCTAAACTATATAAATATACTTCTAAAGCACTGTCCTTGTCCTTGATATGGCCCTCATTTCCTACTTGCTACAATCATTTCTATTCCTTCTAAGCTACTGCTAGGCTCGCATTACAACTACCAGTTGCTTGCCATTTATTATACACTTATCCCGCATATTTGTTTATGCGGATGGTCTTGCGTAGCGCTCCTGTGGCGAACTATACTCCGACTATAAGGGGCAGGGCACCCTAGGGTATGGGTAATTGAACTCTTGGTACTATACAAGCGGTCCATATAATGGGTATATAATTATGATTTTTTTTTGTTATATAATTATGATCACTAAGTTTAGGTTTCATTATGTTGTTTTATATAAAAATTATAACTCTATTTTTTAATGATGTCCGAAATGAAAATTGCAAGTCTGAGATTTCATTTGGGATAATTTTTTTTCTGCTTCTTAAAACAGTTTCTTAGTATAAAAATTTTAATTTTTTACTAAAAAGTTGATTTATAAAGTAATAAGAAAGTTGTTTAAAATAAAACCTAAGAGTATTGTGTTAGCTTTCGAACGTTATTATGATCATCCAATTTTGATGAGAAATAAGAAAGTAATGCTCAATTTAGTGAGAGATAATGAAGCAAACTTCAAATCAAAATTGAATAATATTGATGGACTCACGAGATCATAGTTTGTTTTTGATGTAATCATATCTATATAAACCACAATAACATTTTAGATGAATTGTCATAGTTTGATTGATTAAATGAATGTTGAATTGATAAACTTTTATATGTGTTCATTTCATGCAATTTTGTATGCATTTTATGTCATGTTGTGTTATATTTTGTAAACAAACATTCTCTTTTTACAACATTTTGATTTCATGTGATCTCTCAGGTAATCATTCACATGATAGGGGTGTAAGTGAGTCGAGTTGGCTTGATGTTGTATCATTAACAAGTTTGCAAACTGATCTTATCGAGTTTTGAGCTTGAATTCGATCAAGATGATGCTAAGCTCCATTACTCGTCGAGCAACTAGATTACACGCAGAATATGAAAGACGAATTGACGAAAGGAGAAATGCGAAGCACAGGAAAATCGAGGAAGACGTGTCTGCATGTGCAAACCACGAAAGAAGGAAGCATGGGAGGAAGATGAAGTGCAGGCATCTGCGCGCGCGGAAGACGAAACATGGGAATCTATGCGTGTGAACCGTGGAAGACGAAAGGGGGAGCAGCGTACCGCAGAAGGCTTGCAAGTTCATTTTTAGTGGCACAAGTCGACCTCGAGCTTGTCTTTTAGGTTTGACTCGAGGCTGAGCTCGAGTTAGGCCTGACTCGAGCCCAACTTGACTCATTTAATTTGCACCCCTAACACATACTCATTGTCATGATTTTGACACCAATAATGGTGAAGAGTTGATACTTCTTGAATCAAGAGATTTATCCAGGTCAATAGTCATCACCAAACAGTTATTATAACTCGATTCTTATAATGTATGATTCTTAAAATCACCCTATCTCTCTAGCCCAATACTTGTCGTCTCCCAATCTCTATTATAACTAGACATAGATAGTCACCGAAAGTTGATCACCCCCTAATGCTTATTGCCATTTGATATCTAAAATTTCATAATCAATGCTTCTACTTGAAATTCAAAATCACTTAATTTCTTGTCCCTTGACTTTTATTGCCATTCAAAATTTATAATCACCCATTGATCATTATCCTTCAACTCCCATCACTACTCCAATCTCTTAATATTTTAGGAGAATGATTATCCTAACCAGCCTATAGTTACCCATCAAGTCTACATCGATCACTATTTCTAATGCACTTATCGACTTTGGATCGTTTGTCAAGTCTAAGTACTCTAAATTGTCCACCGACTCCTAATCACTTAGTTTCCCTTCTTTTCAACAGAATACACTAGGCATCTTATATCATTCATTTGACTTCTAATAGTTTAGTATTTCTCCACAATGGAAAGAACATTCTAATTATTATATAACATAGTAAATTTCAACAGCTAAATATTCCCTTCACATTAGCTCTTGAAAATGATCAATTTAACTAGTTTTAGTCACCTCCATGACCTTCATGTCACACTACAACTTAATTGTATTTGTTGCTTCTCCACCTCAAGGGAATGTTGATCAGCCATCTCAAGTGACCTTTCTAGCTTTATAGCACCACTTTAACACCACCTTCAAGTTACCTATCTTCACCCTCAGGGTAGGACTAATCCGAACATCTCCAATAATCTCCACAACCTTCGCACACCACTCTATCAGACTATCATCACCTTCAACTCCAAGAGAGGAATGCCTCAACCATATTAAGATTTCGTTTGGAACGACTTTCTTACTGCTTCTTAAAGTAGCTTTCTAGTATAAAAACAAAAAGTTTTATACTAAAAAACTATTTTAAGAAATAGTAAGAAAGCTGTCACAAACGAAGCCTAAGTTAAACTTGTAACTCATGCTTGATAATAGTGAAGCATGTTTTAATGGAACAAAGTCTTGTGATTTTTTTCTTTTCAAAATTCTCACATAAAAATTCTATATGTTATTCATCATAATTTATCTCTCTAATCAAGCTTGAGCTGTTATTCATAGTTATATCATCAAAATTCCCTCAATCTATGACTTCTCACCTGCAAAAATACTAAATAAAAAAACCACTAAATCGAATAAATATTATATTTATTAAATACTTTTATTACTTGAGCAATTCAATTGTCAATATAAGATTAAATTTATTAACTAATTAAACAAACAAATTTTCTAATATATTTATTAATTTATTCTCTCTCAAATCAGGAATAAACAATAACCAAAAATTTTGGTGCAAAATTTAGTTAGGATAAGAAGTTTAAATATATGCCATTTTTTTATGCCAGTTGAAATTACACTTATTTTATAAATTAAAAATAAAAATATTTTATAAAACATTTAATTTATTTTCTTTAATTTGTAATAATTATTTGAGACTTTTGAACTAATTAAATATAAACTCACAAATACATCGCATATATAATATTCAAACTCAAAGTTTATTGATTGATTGCCTGTCAATGTATAATTTTACGTCCAGATTGTGAGTGTACATAGCGTATAACATGAACTTAATACGTGCGGGATCTAGACGTAATTCTACGTCCGGGCTGTGAGTGTTCATAGTATATACACACCGTATATTTTTATACAATGTGTATATTTATGCATATTGTGTATGCTCACACTCCTAACTTAATTCTACGTTCGAAGTCCGCATAAAATAATTTATCTCGACCAACATATCAAGATGAGTTGTGTTATTTTTTTTAATTGATTATCTAGTTGCGCTAACAGGCAAGTGTCATGGCCAAATATTATTCGGTGTGACCAAACCGTACGCGTCACATCACCCAATATATAATGCATTGGGTGACGTGACACGTCTCTAATGATTCGGATACACACTTAGGCTTCGTTTGGAATAATTTTCTTATTATTTTTTAAAACAAATTTTAGTAATAAAATTAATTTTTTTTTTTATTAAAACTCCTTTTTAAGAACCAATAAAAAATCAGTACCAAACAAAACAAAGTTAATAAAATTTCCGTCGTGGCTGCGCCACAGGAACCCAGGCCTGTAGCGTAGGTTAACGTGGACAAAGAGTAACCAGCACCTCTTACCCGCGCGCACGCTCCAAATTCTTCCTCAGTCGGTCAAGCCGCCAGTGGAGAGCAAGTCACAGATCATGCCGACACCCGGTTCTCCTTTTGGCCGCGGAAACCCTAGCTCCGGCGGATCAAGGACGCCGAATGATCGTGACCCGTCGAGGAGCCCGCTCTATTCCGTTAATCCGTCCGCCGACGACAAATCTTCATCCGCCAGCCGCAATCCCTTTGCCGTTGCTGTGAGGTTCGTGGGCGCATGCTTCGCTCCGACCATGGGCAGATCGACCAACGAGATTTTCTCCGATGGCTTCAAGTCTGGTTCCCGTAAGTTTCAATCTCAGCCATAAGTTTGTTGGAATGAGCCGATTTTTTGTTCTTTTTGAGGGAATAGTAAACATTTTTTCAAAATTGTGGAGGCTGAGAAGAGGTTACGCAAACAGATTTTATAGAGGAAACAGTTGCTCTTATTTAATGAAAATCTGTGGTTTTGTTGATCTTTATTAGAAACATCAGCTTCGGGAAGTAATAACGGAAGCTTTCAAGGCAAGGTAAGGAGGTTGTCAGCAAGTGGGATCTACAGCAGTTCATCTCAGAGTGAGCCTGGAGGTATGCGGTTTACCATGGCAGAAATTAACAAGGCTACAAAGAACTTCTCCCCTTCTTTGAAAGTTGGCCAGGGTGGATTTGGAACGGTGTACAAGGGAAAGCTTGATGACGGCATGCTTGTTGCAGTGAAACGTGCCAAGAAGGCAAGACTTGTTGTTTTGGGATGGAATGGTAGTGTATTATATTGACTAATGCCGAGTTGCTGTCTTTTTGAAATGTTTGTGCAGAGTATGTATGATAAACAAATGGGGACGGAATTCCAATCTGAAGTTCAGACTTTGGCAAGAGTAGAGCATTTGAATTTGGTTAGGTTTTTGGGATATTTGGAGTTTGATAATGAGAGGATTCTTGTAGTTGAGTATGTGCCTAATGGAACTCTTAGAGAACATCTTGACTGTAAGTTTTCTCTTGTTTCTTTAACAATAATCTAGTTTTGGCTGCATGATTTTTAATGTTTGGAATGTATGTTTGCTAGTAGCTTCTCATATTCTACTGAAATATGCAGGCTTGCATGGAGATTGCCTTAATCTTGCGGCACGCCTGGATGTAGCAATAGATGTTGCTCATGCTGTGACTTATCTCCATATGTATGCAGGTATGTTAAATTTGGGAAAATTCTGGTTTTGTCTCATGGCAACTGACATAAAAATATAAAATCTTTCTTCATGATACTTTCTTTTTCAACACATAATGAACAATTGAATGAAGTATGTTATAGATAGTCATAAAAAGTGGAATGGAGTTAGCTTTAAAGAAGATGTATTAATATATGGCTTGGGTCCATATGAGATTATTATTTAGCTGTATTTGGCAAGTTATTGGGATGTTGCCATTATTTGTTCAACAAATCTTTTTGTTATAATTCGGAAACTCATAGAATACTAATTGTTTAAGATGATCCATTTACACACCAATATTTAAGAGTAAAAGTAGTGTTCAAAATTATGCTAACTATAGAGGAATTAAAATTATGAGTCATACAACAAAGCTATAGAAAAGAATGGAACATAAACTTAGAAAAATTGTGTCAATTTTAGAGAATCTACAGCTTAGTTTCATTCCAAGAAGATCTACATTGTAAATAAGTTTTATGTTAAAGAAAATTGATGGAGAAGTATGTAGAGCAAAGAAATGATCTTCATATAAATTTTATTTATTCTAAGAAGGTGTGATCAAGTACTATGATAATTGATTTGGTGCACATTAAGGTAGAAAATTTTGTGTGAAAGGTATGTTGATTTTATTAAATATATGAATAATGTTGCACTCACTAGTATTAATAGTTGTGTTGTGACCTATTCGTTTTCAATTATTGTAGGTTTACATCATAAATCAACCTTATGTCAATATTTTTATATTGGTTATGAATATCCTTATAAAGGATATTTAAAATGAGGTGTCTTGGCTTAAATTTTTTGCATAGTATTTAATTTTAACTGGTAAAACATCCATTTAAACGTGTGCAAAATTAGAACAGTGGAAAAGTTGTTTAAAAGTTATATGACTTGAATTTAGTGAAATAAAAATTGAGTATATGATATATAATTTTAGTTAATGTGTATAAATAATCATCAAACAATATTATTGGAAGATTAGATGATACCTAAATGTGATATGCTTAAGTATTTGTTAGGAAACAAGTGTAGGAATCAAAGAGATCTTGGCTGAAATTTAAAATTTCAACAAGGTTCAAGCAGATTTGAGATAAATATCGTGGAAAAACACTAGGGAAACTTGATAATTAATGAAAAGCGAAAAAAAGCAAACAAGATACAATGGATCTTCAATTCAAGAGGAAGACCCGGCTCTCCCAAACCCTAGCCGACGGCTAGAGCCTAAACAAATCTATTTCAAAATCAACAAAAACATTTCATAATCCTAACCCTTATCATTCCCCTCTATTTAGAGAATACAATTATAATGATAATTAATAAACAACCCCCTTCCAAACTTAATTCCCCCCTAAACTGCTCCCTCATTTTAAGTTTTGAATTCAAATAATAGCTCCCACAAGGGGGCTAGCGGCTGCTTGGTCCACCCGTAGTAAACTAGGGGCCGATCAAGCACTTAATCGGCTGGACAGGTCTAACATTACCCCCTCTCAAAGAATCACCTTATCCTCAAGGTGGAAGTATGGAAACTGATGCTTCACCCTCTCATATGGCTCCCAGGTGGCGTCATAGTCCGATAAGTTCTTTCATTTTATCAGAACCTCCTTGGTTCCTTCTTCTCCCTGTCAAACCCCTCTTAACTCCAGTAGTTCTATTAACATCTTTAAATCCTTTGTCAGTGTCATAAGTAACGCTGAGCTCACTACATGATCACCCCCTCCCCCCAAATATTTTTCTTCTGTTGTGGCATGTGGAACACTGGATGTATAGTAGCGATGATAGTAGTCTCAAGCGGTACGCCACTATTCCAATCCTCTCCAATACCTTATATGGGCTAAAGCACCTTGGGGATAGCTTCTCATTCCTCCTGTTGGCGACCATCCTCTGTTTGTAGGGCCATAGCTTTAAGAACATCTTATCTCCCACTTTGAAATGGATGTCCTTCATATGTCCATTTGTCTGCTACTTCATAATTTATTATGCCCTTAATAAGTGTCTTTTCAATTCTTCCAACACCCTATCTCTTTCCTCCAAGTACTGATCTATTGAAGAGATTAGTGCGCTCCTCTACCCAAAATACACTATGTGTGGAGGGTCTCTTCAATATAACACTTTGAAAGGAGTCGTATGGGAAGTTGAGTGATATGAAGTGTTATAACAGTACTCTGCCCATGCTAGCCACTTAGCCCACCGCTGAGGTGTTTCTAAAGTAAAACATCATAGGTAAGTCTCCAGACTCCTGTTTACTACCTCCGTCTGTCCGTTTGTCTGGGGGTGATAAGCGGCGCTCCTCTTTAGGACTGTTTCCTACAGTCTGAATAACTCTCTTTAGAAATGGCTAAAAAACACATCATCCCGACCATAAATTATCGACTATGGAATCCCATGCAATCTGACCACCTCTCTGATGAAGGATGCTTCCATTATCACTGTCGTGTAAGGGTGTCGTAAGGGAATGAAATGAGCATATTTTCTCAACCTGTCAACCACCAATAGAATCACTGTAAACCCCTCAGATTGGGGTAAACCATCTATGAAATCCATGGTGACCATCTATGAAATCCATGGTGACCTCCTCCCACACTTTGTCTGGAAGAGCCAAGGGTTGAAGTAATCCCCCTGGAGCCATCGCCATATACTTGTTTCTCTGACATACCTCACACCTAGACACCAGCTTCTCCACATCCCTATGCATTTCCTCCCAATACAATTCTGATGTCAATCTCTTGTATGTCTTCTGCACACCATAATGTCCCCCAATAACGCTCCAATGAAACTCCTGCAGCAGGTGAGTAATATGAACTGAGGTTCGTGGCAGCACAAACCTCCCCTAGTATAATAGTCTCTTCCCTTCTAGATAATAGCCAGGGGGGCTATTCTCATCCTTTAGTAGAAAGCCAGGGTGGCTATTCTCATCATTCAGTAAATCCGTCCTAATCCGCCTCAGCCCCTCATCTTATATATTCTTCTCCTTAATAGCCCCTTCCCCCCCCCCAAAAAAAAATAATAAATAAATAAAATCTAGCATCAGAGGTATTGAAATGACTAACTCTTGGAGCTCCCCTATGCATCTGGATAAGACATCAGCTGCTTTGTTCTCTAGCCCTAGTTTATATTTGATCTCAAAGTCATATCATAATAGTTTTCACAACCACCTCTGATGCTCCTCAATCACCATCCTCTGCTCCAGCAAGTACTTCAAGCTCTGCTGGTCTGTCCTGACGATTAAATGTCGACCCAACAAGTAAGGTTGTCACTTCTGAATAGCTAGTACAATGACCGTCAATTCTCTCTCATAATTTGACTTCGGTCATACTCTAGCTGTCAATACCTGGCTGAAGCAGGCTATGGGTCTGTGATTTTGCATGTGCACTGCTCCCAATCCATATCCTGAGGCATTAGTCTCTACTTCAAACATCTGGTTGAAATCGGGTAGGGTCATGACCGGGATCGTGGTCATGGTTGTCTTCAATCTCTCGAAGGCCTGAGTGGCTGTCTCTCCTCACAAGAAGTTTTTCTTCTTCAACTGTTCTGTCAGAGGCCAAGCTATGGTATTATATCCCCTCACGAATCTCCTATAGGTCCCAGACAATCCTAAAAAGCCCCCTCAACTCCCTCAAATTTCTAGGTATAGGCCATTTCAGCATTGCCTCAATATTGGCCTGATCAATTTCCAACTCTTCCTGGGATATCATGTGCCCCAAGTACTCCACACTAGCCTTTGCAAAATAACATTTCTTCATATTAATCCTTAGTTGATGCTCCTATAACACTTCTAAGCTTGCGCTTAGATGCTCTTCACTGGACTTGTTGTATACCAGGATGTCATCAAAGAAAACTAGAACAAACTTATTGAGGTAAGGCCAGCCACCTTATTCATGAGGGATTGGAATGTAGCAGGAGCGTTGGTGAGGCCAAACAGCATCATCAAGAACTCATAGTGTCCCTCGTGTGTCTTGAAAGCTATCTTCGGACCATCCTCCTCTCTCATCTAGATCTGATGGTACTCGGACTTCAGGTCCATCTTCGTGAATACTGCTGCTCCGCAAAGCTTATCTAACAACTCATCTATCACTAGAATAGGAAACTTGTCTGGCACATTTTTCTTATTCAGGGTTTGATAGTCCACACAAAATCTCCAACTTCCAGCCTTCTTCTTGACCATAAGAATTGGTCTAGAAAAGAGGCTCACGCTCGGCCTGATGATCCCTACCTCCAACATCTCCTGGATCGGCTTCTCAATATCATCCTTCTGGATCTGGCGATAGCGTTAAGGCCTGGCATTAATAAGTGGTACCCACTCCCTCAGCGTGATGGCATGCTCATGTCCCCTCTGTGGTGGCAATCCCTGGGGTGGATGAAAAATCTCACAAAACTGTTGTACGATCGGCTATATTTGAAATAGGGATCCCACCTCCCCTCTGATACCCTCCAAACTTTGTAGCTCCATCAAAATTCCTACTCCCATCTTCTATATGGTCATTATCATGATTTTTAGAGACACCATGGCTTTTGAGAGCTTTGCATCTCCTTTGATCACCATCTTTCTCCCTTTCACCATCAGCTCCATTATCAGCGTCCCCCAATTCTCCTTGGTAACGGTAAGTCCTAACAAGTGATACCCCCTCCCTTAGCGTGATTCCGTGCTCCTGTTCCCTCTGTGGTGGCTGAAAAATCTCACAAAACTATTGTACGATCGACTATATTGAAAGAGGGACCCCCCCCCCTTCTCTTCCTCCCCTCTGATCCCCTCAAAAACTCTGGAGCTCCACTAGAATTCCTCCTCCCACCTTATGTATGGCCCTTACCATGATTTTTGAGACACAATGGCTTTGGAGAGCCCTGCATCTCTAATCACCATCCTTCTCCCTTCCACCATCAGCTCCATTGTCAGCGTTCCTCAATTCACCTTGGTATCCCTCAGGTCTGCAGTTATCTCATCCCCAGGATGACATTAGTGCCCTACTCCAATGGGAGAAAATCCTCCTCACTTGGATCCCCTATATAGTAAGGATCACTCCCATATACACCCCTCTACTTGTCTCCATCTTTTCAGTCCCCATAATCACCTCATAACACCATGTGTCCACTAGTTTCATCCCCTATTGGTCTATGACCTGGTCTGAGATTAAATTGTGGGTAGCCCCACTATCTATCAATATCGCTACCTCCTTGTTTGTTATTTCTCCTCTCATCTTCATAGTATGATTTTGAGTAATTCACAACACTGAGTTCAAGGAGACCTCTGCCATGTCTAAATACAGTTTTTCCTCCTTCGCTGATGCCTCACTCCCACCTCTCTCCTCAACTTCCTCGTCATCACAAACTCTGAGAACCTGAAAAGTTTGATCCTTACGCCTATGCTCCGGCGTGTATTTCTCATCATATCTGAAACATAACCCCTTTTCTTATTTATTATGCACATCCTCTTCTATGAGTCGCTTGAAGTTACCCCCAGGCGATCTCCATCTCTCTTCTCCCAATGAGCTTCTCTTTGAAAGGATATTTTCTAGGTTCTAGGTGCTAAAGTTTTAAAGGTACTCATGTAGGGTCCTCCCACGATGTTGTTTCTACTGGCCTTCCGCCTACTATATTTTTCCTCCACTCTCTGAACAATCTTCATCGTCTCTTTCAAACCCCTAGGCCTCAATACCCTGAGCTCTACCCGTATGTCCTCCCTAAGCCCCTTCATGAAATTCCCCTCCAATCCTTCCTCAGAGATTTCCCTCAGTCTCTCTGACAGTAACTCAATTTTTCTTGGTACTTCATAACTGTCCCCTCCTGATTTAGGGCATAAAACTACTCATGAAGGTCTTCTTTTGAAATGGCTAGGAAACATTGCAACAAGCACTCCTTAAATTCTCTCCATGAGTAAATCACATCCCTAGCCTCCCCCCAAATATAGACCCGCTGCCATGAGTTTTTCATATTTTGTCAGTCCGTTGATAGCAAAGTAGAATTCCACCCAGTACATCCAACTCTGGGCATCCTCCCCTTCAAAGATTAGCATCTTTAGCTTTCTCGATCTCTCATGTAGTGGTGTTGTGATTCCCCCCTTCCTTCCTCCCTTGGTTGAGTTGACCCCATGGCTCACTCCAATCATATCCGGGTAGTCTCCCGAAGGGTTCGACCTCCCTCCTCCTTACTATCCTCCCTTTGAAATATCCCAATCTGCCCACCAACAGAGCCCAATATTGTGATCATTAATGGAAAACACTCTCCTATTCATTATCATCCTCCTGAATGTCATTTCTTGTTGGTTCCACCCTAGAAATCATCGGTGATGCTTTCGACTGTATCTCAAGCATTTTTTTTATCATATCCTCAAAGTTTTCAAAGTGATTCTCAATGGCTGAGAGTCTTCCCTCCACCCCGGAATATTTTTTCTCTACCCCGGCCTTCAATTGTTTCATGTCGCCTTCCAACGCATCCATCTTCTTTGTTGCTATTAATTGGATCTAGTCTCCAATCGCAAAACCAGCGAAGGCAGCTTATTTTTCCGCCCAAGAAAGCGCTTTGATATCAATTTGTTAGGAATCAAGTGCATGAATCAAAGAGATCTTGACTGAAATTTGGAATTTCAATAAGGTTCAAGAAAATTTTGAGATAAATCCCATGACAAAACACTAGAGAAACTTGTTAATTAATGAAAAGTGAAAGAAAACAAACAAGATACAATGGATCTTCAATTTGAGAGGAAGACCCGGCTCTCCCAATACCTAGCTGGCCGCCAGAGCCCAAAGAAACCCAAAAGAAAACTCAAATTAAAAAAAAACATAACATAGCCCTAACCCTAATCATTCCTCTCTATTTAGAGAATACAATTATATTGATAATTACTAAACAACTCCTCTTAAACTTAATTCCCCCCTAAATTTCGACTCCTTTTATGTTTTGAATTCAAATTATGGGCCCACAAGGGGGGTCGACAATTGATTTTTCCGCCTGTAGTAAATTAGGGGCCAGCCAAGCACTTGGGCCCGCTGGACCGGTCCTCCTTGGACTAGTCTAACAATATCCTTGATCGCTCAAGTGAAAGAATAAAGATATAGATTTGTATATTACTTTTGGAGTTAATGTTAGATGACTAAGATGGAGAAGTACCTTAAGGGTAGTTTCAGAAAAGGATGTCATACAGACTTAAATATAAATTTTATAAATTTATAGTTATATTATGTTGTTCTATGTGTCCGATTGATGGGTAGAAAAAAATTACTAATATCATAGGGCTTGTTTGGGATTACTTTTGCATTTTATTTTTGTTTTTATATTTAAAAATATATTTGTTTGGCATGTTCTAAAATTATTATTTTTAAATAGTTCCAAGTTATTTTGAAAAATAATGAAAATAATTTTTAGGTGTTTTAAGATCATTGTCGTCACCACCATTACTACTATGTATTGCTAGCAACCATCGTCAGCCTCTGCTATCATTACCTTGTCTATTGTTCTGCAATCCTATTGGTAATTGTCATCATCACTAAATGAATAAACAAAAATAATTTATTTTTTAAGATGAATAACATTGTCAAAATATAAACAATAAACAATAAAAAGTTTTTTTAAAAAAAACCTCTTGGTTAAGTACAGTAGAAATGGAAATAATAAGATGAATATTGTGACAAAATTAGGAAGGATAAATTAATGAATAATTATATTAGAAGAAAAATTAAATGAAATATATTAAAAATAAGTTCATTGAAAATGTATTTAAGTGGTTTGAACAACATGAAGAGAAGAAAATACACTACTTAGGTAGATGGGGATTTGTGTCAAAGGATTAGAAATTGGTAGATATACATAGAAGTTGTGCAGAAATGATTTGCGAAGAATATGTTGACACCTCTTATATTATTCAACAAGGACAAATAAAAAATTAAGATTCATAAAGTAGGCCCAAAATAGTGTTGATAAGGCTAAATAGTAAACCATAAATATCATTTGTAAAGGTCATCAAAACATTAGCTTTTATGCTAGGTGTGTCAAAATGGGTTTTCAGGTCGGATTGGGCTCAAAATCGACTTGTTCTCATTTCATCCAATCTAAACCGACCCGATTGCATAAACGGGTCAAAAATTTAAACATGAATCCGACCCGCCCTAAATCCAAGTCGACCCAACCCGACACGACCGCACGTGGAGCACGTTGGGATCTGCAGGGGGCCAAAAGTAGAGCGGGACGCTGGGGGCCCGCGTGATGCCGTGCTGCCTACGACTGGTGCGGGTAGGACATGGGGCAGCGCGAGCGGGACGCATGCATACTCTAGCTGGGCACGTTGGACGTAGTGCGGGAGTAGGGTACGAGTTGGGCCCCCCGGGTCCATCTACCGAATCAAATGCCGGGATTGCGGGTCACTCCGGGTCATTTTCAGGTTGGCGGGTTGACCTGAACCTATTTTTCAAACATGTTGAAAATCAGAACTCAAATCTGACCCATTTGTTAAACGGGTCAACCCGAAACCAAATTTCCAGATCGGATTCGGGCTGTCATAAATTGACAACCGATATTTTATACAGAAGAAAAAATGTGTACTTCCTGGATATGCATGCATACAAAACTATGTCTCATCTTATAATCAATGGCTTTATCACATTTGTTTGGGATCAGATAAACAGATAAACTAATCAGCTTTTAAGCTTGTGCATCTTCCATTCTTAAATCTTTCAAACAGATAAAAATGACAAATTTCATATTTCACTTGTAAAAAACGCATGGATTGATTTTCAATTCTAAATTAAGCTAAAGAGGAACTTAATCGTCCCACATGCCTTCAGATCGTTTGTAAGTGTCCATGCAAAGCTTTAGAACATGAATGCATCACATTTAAGTAGAATTGTATCCATACTACAGCCACATTGAAAGTTGAAACTCAATACTCTGATTTATCCATATAATGTGATTTGCCAAAACCGAGTACTCTTCTCCCTAACCACCAGAATGTACAATTGCTTCATTCCAACTCAAAATAATAATAATAATAATTCTAACCTTATGTTTTTTGCAGATCATCCTATCATTCACAGAGACATTAAATCTTCTAACATTCTTCTCACTGAAAATTTTCGAGCTAAAGTTGCGGATTTTGGCTTTGCACGTCTTGGTGCAACTGAGATAGATGCCACCCATGTTTCAACCCAAGTAAAAGGAACCGCTGGGTATCTTGACCCTGAATATCTCAAAACATATCAACTCACGGAGAAAAGTGATGTATATTCCTTTGGGGTACTACTGGTGGAATTGATATCAGGAAGGCGCCCAATCGAGCCTAAAAGGGATGTCAAAGAGCGTCTCACTCCCAGATGGGTATGTTTAAAGTTCCATCTCAATCCATATTATTTTACTTGGGATTTTTACTGGTACAATAGTCTAAATTTATTAGTATATCCAAATTTTTTGATATTTTTGGTACATGACCCTAAATTATTTTAAATCAGAAGCAATATTTCTTTTAGATTTTCTAAGAGAATAACACAAAAATTCACCTATGAAAATAAGCAGATTAGATGAGCTGATGTAGAGCCATCAAATACCAAAACCGACCTATAAGTAAAATTGGATTAGATCTGGATATGATGAAATTTACTTGGTTGATCCTGGTTGTGCAGATTAGAGCCCTTGCTGAGATCTAGTTCTAGGGTTAGTTAAATTGTGTAAGGTTAAAGTTGTAATGAGAGTTAACTGAATGCCATGTTAATAAGAAGATTTAGATTAAGGTTTTGTTTGGTACAACATTTTTGTTACTTTCTAAATTAATTTTTTAGTTCAAAAAAATTTTGAACTAGAAATTTTTGTACTGAAAAGATGTTTTAAAAGGTAGTAACAAACAAAGCTTAAGTTGATAGGTATGCTATATTAAAAATTTGCTGTGGCATACAACTTGTGTTTTTGATGGCATGCAAAAAAAATCTCTAATTTATTTATTTATTTTTACATTAGTAGGCATTTCTTAGGAAGCACTTACACGGACAAATTATGGCTCTGTTTGGTTTGAAGGAATTCAAAGATAGGGAATGGAAACGAAATGAAAAAAAGGAAATGATAAAGGAAATCAATTGAAATTTAATTTCACCGACTTATTTAATTGAGAAGTTGAGTGAAGAAATATTTTTCCTTTCTTGTTTGTTTGAGAAATTAAATTTTTATTTCTTGTGAGGTTACATATATCAACCATGATTTGATAGTTTTTTCTTCAAATTTTTTATTAGGGTTTAGAATGGTATTGTCAATGGGAGGAAGCATTTGCTCACATTTTCTCAATAATTTATGTATGAATTACTTTGAAATGAAATATGCAATATAAACTTGTAAAGTAAAATGCATTTATATTTCATTCCTTCAAGCCAAACATACCAGGAAATAGAAATACAAACGATAAAAGAATTGAATCAAAATTAGCTTTCACCCACTTATTTGGTTGAAGATAAATTGAAAGTATTTTTATTTTTTTATTGAAAAATTAGGCTCATGCTTCATTTGAGGAGGAAGTATTCAAAGTCAAAGTGATGCACTCATAAAATTTTCTTCCCTCAGGTCAAATAGAAAATTGTCACTTGAAAAATCCATTCATTCAACGTTCTAAGGTAAATCCAATTAACTAATACTTACATTGGAGTTAGTTATAAATCTAAACTAAGCCTTCGTTTGGGACACCTTTTTTATTACTTCTTAAAACAGCTTTCTAATACAAAAATTAAAATTTTTTGTACTAAAAAACTGTTTTAATACTCATTTGACCTCCAATTCCCTCAAATCAAACATAATCAACTCAATGCTATTGAGTGCTTCATGCAAAATACTCATTTGACCTCATAAATTAATGAACAGGCAATGAAAAAGTTCATGGATGGAGATGCCATTCAAGTACTAGATCCAAATCTTCCTCAGACCCCAGCAGCCACTCTTGCCTTGGAGAAAATCCTGGAGCTCTCTCTTCAATGCCTTGCTCCAACCAGACAGAGCAGGCCTAGTATGAGAATGTGTGCTGAGATTTTGTGGAGCATTCGCAAGGATTTCAGAGAACTATGGTCTTCAGATGAACTCTCCCAGACCTCTCAGGTAAAGTCTTCTCTGGAGTAAAAGATCTGAACCATTCATTTGGGCCTTTTGAAGTAAATTCTTTTGTGTCTTTCTAGCTGATTGGAGGTTTGTATATTGTGTGATTTAATATGTATAGTTCTAGTTGATAAATGTGCACACCCATAAGTAATTCTTTTATATGTGATCAAAATTTTTAGTTAAAATAATCTCACAGTTCTTCTCAGTGGAAGATTGATGAGCATATATATTATAGGGTGAACAGAGCATTTCTGTATATTTCATGTGTATTTTGATTAATATTTCTATTGAGAATGCTTATGCCTGTGAATATTAGTATGTTCATTTCATATTTCATAGAGAATAGATACTTTTTTTTTTCTTTAGGAAAGGGTGAAAAAACATTATGGAGAATTAATGAAAACATTACATGATTGTTACATAAGCTATTTTTGAATAGATTGGATTGAATGTTTTCCTTGCAATTTTTTATTCTTTAATAAAAATTTCTTTTAAAAAAATGATTCCTAATTATATTAAAAGATCTTTTTATTCCCTCAAAATTTTAAACAACAACAACATTAAGCCTTTGTCCAACTATATGGGGTAATAATTTTTCTCAATTGTGTTCTGTTAAAAGTTAAATTCTCGTTTAAATCTAATAAAGAAAGATCATTTCTAATATTTTCTAACTAAGTCTTTTTAGGTCTATCTCTACTTTTTCTTAATATAAGTCAAATCTAATACCTCTACTTTCCTAGCCGGGTCATCGGAAGGCTGTCGTTTTATGTGACCAAATAATATAAGGCGATTATCTCTAATCTTATATTCTGTTGGAGCTACTCCAACAATTTCATGTATATGCTCATTTTGTATTCGATCTCTAAGGGTGAAGCCATTCATCCACCTAAGCATCCTCATCTCTGCAATACTTAACTTAGTATTATGTTTCTCTTTTAATGGTCAACATTCGGTGCCATATAGAACTTTTCCTTAAGTTTGAGGGGGTTTTTCAATCACACAACATGCTCGATGCATTCCTCAACTTCAATCATCCAACTTAAATTATACTAATAATATCCCCATTTATTTCACCATCACTCAGAACAATAGATCCAAGATATCTAAAACATGTACTCTCCCTCAAATTTTTAAAAAGGAATCAAAATAGTTTGACTTTAAGGATCAAAATTGTCATTTAATATAATTGGGATTATTTTAATCTCTTATAAAGAGTTAATGGATCATTTTGATTATTTTTTTATATTAAAAATATTCAGCTCTATAACAGAAGAATAAATTTAAGCTCATTCCTTTTGCGCTCGGCCGGCTCAACCTCTACAGTGGCCATTGCAAAACAGTTGGAGTTCTCTCCAACATGGAAGAATATTTCTCACATGACTCACATTATTCTAATCAGACAAGAGAAAGCATATCCATCTCCCCCTCGCTTCTAACTTCTAACCGTTCTTCGTCTTCCCCCATTCGGCAGATTTCTTCAGCTTCTCAAGCTGGAGACAGTTTTACTTCCCATAAAAATCGTATTTTTAAATATACTTTCCACGACAGAAATGGAGTTCTCTGCTGGCCGGCCACATCCTCTCTCTCTCTCTTGATCTCTCTTGATATATATATGTTAACGCATAGCCACCACCTGTGATATACTGACTCCATGGAAAGAAAGGAACATAAGGAGGAGAAGGCGTCAAGCAATGAGGCTGAGTCGCCGGAGCCAGCCGCCGTTGGTGACGACAGCATTGGCACTTCATCTGTATATGCCGGTGGCCGATACTATGAGTGCGTCTTTTGCCGGAGAGGCTTTTCGACGGCGCAGGCGCTCGGCGGCCACATGAACATACATCGGAGAGATCGACCGAGGATTCGGCCGGCGGTGGCGACTGCGGCGAGAAGAGAGGAGGGTAATTACCATCCTTACTTACAAGAGCAATGGCATCCGCCAACGCCAACAAAAGAGAATTACATCGTCTATTTTCCTGGATCGTCGTCTTCAACGGAGTCGAAGAGTCCACGAGATCAGATGGCGTCGGAGAAGAAGATTGCGGACGGGGAAATGGAGGATTTGGATTTGGAGCTTCGCCTTGGTCATGGTGGAAGGCATGGCGGACCATGAGCATTTTCATCCATAACTAGTCTTATTTTGATTATTTATGATTGGTTTCAAATATTTCTGTTTTTTTTTTTTTTAGTGTTATGTGAGATGTTAACTCTGTTTATCATAATTTTATTAAAATGATTTCTAAGACATTATCTTGATTTTTTTCTTCTTCTTTAATTCTTTAGAATTTTTGATTCACTACAGAAAATCTGCTATTACCGTCGGACTTTCCGGCGAATATATATGCGCTGAAAACAGCGGTGGCCTAAGATGCGGAATGTACGTCAGTAATGTTACGGTGGAATTTCTTTCAAATATATATTCGTAATCAAAATTTTGTAATGAAATGTTGACATTACTCTGAATCCACTCAATTAATCATTTAGAAATAAGATATCACACAATATTAATTTTGCGAGGTACTCACTCTTTAAGAAGATCTCAATAGTCTCCGACTATTTAAAAGTCTCATTTTAATCTTTTTTTTTTTTATAATAAGGACCGAAATGATCCCATAAAAGAATTAATTTGATTCATATTTAAAGAGTTAGTGGACCAATATGATCATTCTCTTATTTACTTAGGCTTCAATTTATTTAATAAATAAAATAAATATTCTATTGGAGCGAAAATTATATTTATAGCTTTTATGATTAAATTACTTAGTTTGCTCTATATGTGATATTACATAATTTTTTTCATTTGAAGAGGAAAAAAATGAAAAATTTATTTTTTGTATTCATGATTATGAAACTTTAACTTTGATAGTTATGGTAGTTATGCGTATATTTTTAATGTCTATCATATAAAATGAAGCTTCTCTATAAAATTCTTGAAATCAAATAAAAATAAAATTAAAAAAAATCCAAATATTAACTCAATTAAAATGATTAATTACTCTCTTGACTGTCTTTATTCCTATTATCTTTCTTGTTGGCCTCAAATCAAAACTTAAAAAAGAAAAAAAAAATTCTCCCTATGATTTTTTTTATTATTTTTTATTTTATAAAATTGCTATAGATAAAATAACTTTTTAAAGTTTTTGAAGAAAGCAAGTTTTTAGTACAAATTTTTTTCATAAACAACGAGAAGTAGCTGCCAAATAAAAATTATGGTTGCACTGTGTACAGCAAAGCAGGTTTTAGTATAAAAATTTCTTGAACTTAAAAATTTTATATTAGAAAGCACTAAAAAAACTGTCGCAAATGAAGATTTAATCATTCAAAATAGTTACTTTCTTATTTTCTTGACATGGTTTAGTTGTTTTGATTTGCTTGTACTAACTTGCTTGCATACAAATGGAAATATTAGGAGAGGTGATGCATAATTGGATGTATATAAGCATCAAATTAATAAGAAACATCAAAATCAAAATTTGATATATAAATTAAAAAAATCACCTCATCCAAAACTTCTCTATTTCAGTGTCTCTTTTTGAAGTTAGGAATGTGTCCAAAGGCATGTAATCAAATCAAAAATTGAACTATAGAACATTGTAACTTAGAATGGATAGGAGATCATAATTTGATTAACTCTAATCCTATATAATATATATAGGAATATATTATGTGATTGCTTATTACGGAAAGAAACTCACAATGCATTTACGTGATCAATCTGGCTGAGGTTTCGTTTGGGACGGCTTTTTTACTGCTTCTTAAACTAACTTTCTAGTTTCTAGCATACAAATTTTAATTTTTATACTAAAAATCTGCTTTAAGAAGCAGTGATAAAGCCGTCCCAAATGAAACATGAGTTTAAATAGAACTCAAGTTCAAACTCGTCTTGAGCAATAGTCGTGATTTAAGACTCAACTTCATTTGGAAAATCTTTCTTACTATCTTGCTTTTTATATCATAATCATAATTTTTGTTTGATCATTATTTTTTTACTGCTTTTTAATAAATTTTTATGTTAGGAAACTGTTTTCTACAACAACTTTCAAATAAGTTACTTTCTCTAAAGTAACGTTACAATCATCTTTATAAAAAGTTATAGCCATCTCAAATGGATCATAAATCACTTTCATAATTTATTATTATGTATAAGAAAATATGATGAGAATGTGCCATGTGGCATTTGATGAGTAGAGCATATGGTTGCCTAGTGCATGGCGCTTTGCTGTCATGAGATTAGGACTGGTCTTTTGACAAAGTACATTGGAATTCACGGGAGGTGCTTAGTTATTGCATCTGGCTCTTGAGAGATTATTAGGTGCGGAGTGTAGACGGAAAGAACCATACGGACAAGTGTTGAGTACCTAGCGATATCCGTACTCGATACCGCTGGGTACTTAGTGCTTGTGCGGACGGTGCGCACTCCGCACCTAATAATTTTTCCTGACTCTTAGTAACAAAATATTCACTTTTTTTGTTTCTTTGTTTCTTTGTTGAAAAGTATTTCTTTACTTCTCTCAATGGCACAATGGCAGAGGACTATGATCATTATCAACACTCATTGAGGCTATTGGAATGATTTGATTAGCTTTCAAACAACTATTGCTAAGCTACCTTATTTTAGGTGCAGCTCATCTGATAATTTTTTTTCCTTTTATTTTACAGTGTTCTTATGACCTATATAGACTATTTCACGAGCAATTTAGTGCAATTGATTGATTGTTCTCGAGAAGATAAATATTTTGATATAAAAATCTCAGCGTATGATTGTTAGCTCATTTTCTAGAGCTTTGATATGTTAGCTCATTTGGATATAGGGTACTTTGTTTATTAATCATAGATATTGATAGTAAAGATTATTATTGCAAAAGTCTCATATCGTATCGGTCGAGTAAGGATTCGATTGAGACAGTTTTTTTACTATTTTCAAAAGCAATTTTTTAGTACAATTTTTTTTTTTTACCAAACAAATTTATACTAAAAAGATGCTTCATAAAACAATAAGAAAGCTGTTCCAAACGAAACATAAGTTGGCAAAACTAGCAAAGGAGAAATCTCCATCATTCATAATTAAATATACACAGCTCATCTTGGTCTGTTGGTTGAGTGTTTAGGCTTTCAACTAAGAGGTCTTGGGTTCGAGTCTTTGTGCATGCGTTGTGCGTGTGAGTTTTCCTTAAATGATCTAAATGTCTCAAATAATAATAATAATAATAAATATCATGTTTTGGATAAGAATTGGAATAACATCTTAAAAATAATAAATATACCTCAATTTTGTTTACTTGGGACATTATGAACATTCTGAACTTCTTAAATGTAGGAGAATTACAGAGTCAGATAAGAGAATTACAGGTAAAAAAGGATTACAAGTAAGTAAAAAGTCCAACATAAGCAACTAAAACAAAAACTTATGTGGAACAAAAATCAAAAAGCCCCAACTATACCACCCAATACAATATCAAAACACAGTAAAAAGATCCAAAATTAGTGGCTGGAAGCTCAAAAATGATCCGAGAGAAAACAGCAGCTGAGCAAGCAGAACCTGAGACGAGAAGGAAGTGATGCGCGATTGCTTCAAACACCCAAATACCTGCAGCATATGAGATCTGATCCTGGAAAGAACTCCCATGCCAAAAAACACCTGGACTCGGATTAATAAGAGGCGAATTACAGATCTTACACAGTCCTGGTTGCCCATATAACATAGGCCATCCAAGGGCATGTAAGGGGAGTTTCATCATTGTCCAGGTAGGCATATCAGTAAGGGCCCGTGGCAACCTCAGCAAACATATCCAGCTTACAATCTGTCCAAAAATTCCATAGCATTTCTCCATTTCGTAATCTTCTCCAAAATAGCTTTCTTGATACATAGCAGTAAAGAAGAATGACATTTGTAATGATTCCCAAAAATTCTATTGTTTCTTTCCTTCCAAACAAAGTAGAGAATAGATGAGACAGCCAGTTTATAAAAATTTGAAATCTCCGAATTTTCATTATACTTCCCATTAATCCAGTCATACACCTAAGATATGTTCGGCCTTAAGAGAAAGTTACTCATACCGAAGATAATGCTAGTGAGTATAGAGAAGGAGTATTGGCATTCAAAGAATAGATGGGAAACCGATTCATCAGCGTTATGGCAAAGACGGCATAATGGCGAGACCATAATATGCCTAACACGAAGAGCATCAGCAGTTTTTAGCCCCCCCCCCGACATTAGCCAACCAAGCAAACACAGAAAATTTTAAAGCATTTCTTTTATGCCATATCATGTTAGCCCAGCTACAGTCCATTTTATCCGAGTGAAATACCACCATATAGTTTTTAAAGTTGCTCTTCTCCTTGTCATACCATAGCAGGCATGGCCCCTCACCCTCACATACATTAATACCCGAAAAAACAGCTTTTAAACTGGATGAGAAACAGTCAGGTAAAACCCACCCAGCATCAGAAATAAAATGTGATAAACCAACGTCAGGTATATTAGCCAAAAAATCAACACCAAAAAGATCACAAAAGTTGCTACCACCAATCCAGTGATCCCATTTCAGAGAAATAGGGGCGCCTTTTACCATTTTAAATTTGAAACAGTGTTTAGCAGCAATAGCCGTATAGCAAATAGATTTCCAGAACCTGGAAGCAGCAGCCGGCGGTGGCCTCCAGGGGGAATTATATCTACTAAACACCCAGGAGGATAATGGAGAGGAGCTGTTATAAAGCCGCAAAATCACAGAGCAGTTAAAAAAAAATTGCAATCCGGAATAGAAGTTAAACCCAAGCCTCCTTTAGAGTAAGGAAGACAAACTTTATCCCAAGCAATCATGTGAAGCTTCTTGTCTGCATTAACATCCCCAAAAAATAGAAATCTAGAGCTAGATTTCTTAATAAATTTGTGAACAGCTTTGGGCAGAATAGCCCCCCTTATCCAATATGCTATAGTATTTTGAATAGTGAATTTCAGATATTGTAACCTTCCTGCAAGAGATAGGAGTGTGGCCTTCCAACCAGTGAATTTCATGTTAATACAATCCATTAAAGGCATATAATCCTCAATTTTAAGCCTATAGAACGATAGGGGAATACCCAGGTAAGAGATCTTGCTAGTGATGTTATGAATAGAAAGAGCATTACAAAAGTCAATCTGATTCTGCACATGCTTAGGGAACATGATGACGCTTTTGTCATAATTAACGTGAAGACCCGTCATACCAGCAA